CAAGATTTTTTCAAAGATCGCTTAAACGTCCATTTAAAATATCAATTAATAATGTTAGTTTTTCATTAGTTTTTTTTTTATCAAAGAAGTTGAAACGAGAGATGTTATTTTATCACTCTAATTATTATTACTAAGTACAATATGTTTTTATGTAGAAATGAATTTTTCCGTTTCTCTTTCTCTCACGCCCTCGCCTGAATTCTTCGTAGATTCTCATAAAAATTTTTAGATAAAATGTTATCCTTCCACCGGATAAGCCGATTTAAGCGAGTCACGTAATCGAAGAGGCAGGCAGGCAGAGACGGCGAACGTAAGGCGAGAAACGCGTACGCAAAATAGGCATTTAACCGAACAGGTACTGTCTCGCCCGTGTTTCCGTATTAACACTTTTCTCTTTTTCCTCGAGAAACATAGTGTCCTCGAATATGGCTAGTTCAACATTCCCGTTGTTATACGTTAGGACGTTTTGCGTTGGAAATTCTGACCTACTGAAAAGGATGCCCTTGCCCCCTTGGTTACCTCCGTGGCATCCCTCTTCTTCCAATCGATCGTCCCATTTTCCCGCAAAAAGCTGGCTACGAGCGTACCTTAAATAGAAATGCGATTCTTCTTTCTACCATTCTTTCATTTTTATATCTTTTACGCTGAGTAAACGTTAAGCCTAAAAAATTTCTTTAATCTTCTGTTGCACCTTTCACTTCGCATTATTTCTACGTAATGTGTATAAACGAATCCATACCTCGAGTGGAGCCGACCTATCCAATCATCAAACAAGACGCCGAGTTCACGGAAAATTATAAAAATTACAAATATTTGACGATATTAATATCAATATTCAATATTTAATTTTATCGTTTAAAAAATTTTTTCAAATCTACTATAATATATTTCAATGTTTGATCAAAGCGCAACTCGAAGGCCCACGGATAATTATTTCTTTTAATACGCGATAAATGAGTACGAGTATGGCAATAAGATAGGATTGTTAGAATGGCAACATCTATGTCATATTAAATTTGCTACAGAATCCTCCTCGCATACGGAATATCACTATCGTACCACTTTTGATCTTACGGCTGATACGCGACGGGTATACGCGACGATGCGTATCGCATAGATACCTTTGATACCGTCGTGGAATATCCATATCTCTCCTTTTCAAATGCATCGTAGATCCAAGGAAATAAAAGAGCCAATAGAAATGCTCGGAACGATTGGAAGGCACGTTATCACCAATATAAGAAATATGTAAGGTCACGATTGATATTGATTTTGATCGAAAAACGAAATTGAACGTATCAAGTATTTCTGCGACTTTAAAGGCGATCTAGAAAATATAAATATAAATACGCATACGAATATATAATATGATAACAAGATGAGAAGGAAAGATTTTGCGCGGAATGTCTTCGTAGATAAATGTTCTGGGTTATGTAAAAAAAAAAAAAAAAAAAAAAAAAAAAGAAAAAATAGAGAGAAACGAGGAGGACACAGAGCATGTTATCCGCTTAAATTTAATATAAGATGAACTGGGGGATTATTTTTTATTAGTTTTCTCTTTGTTCAAATTTTTGTCCGCGAAGAAGAAAAAAAAATACTTGCCAAGTGTACTCTCTTGTAAATTGCACTCTGTCGGACATGGTTTCTAGATGCAATCGCACAACTTATATACTTTCATTTTAATCAAAAGTAATTTTTGAAGAAGATACGTATATTAGATGGAAAAAAAACGATACTCGTCGGTTTAATTGCTCTTTCCCCAAAGTTTTAAGTGCAATATCTATTCACTTGCGCAATTTTGTTGCTAATCCTGTCATATATCAATCGAATATCACCACTCTTTCTACTCGATTCGAGTTTCTAATTATAATTGCGATAAAACGGTGTATAGATTATATCATTTTACTTGTTCTTCCGTAAAAGAAAAAAATGAAAAAAATATTCCGATTTTGGACATAATTTTGACATTATCCTTAACATTATCTTATCGAATTTAACGATGGTAATGACGATCGAGACAGGTACGATCGGGAACAGTAATTGGCTGATACGTAATCGCCGACAACATTTCTATACCAATTACATAATTTCCAAAGGGCTCGCAAGCATTCAACGTTGGTTTTCGCGTCTAATCGATAGGATGGATAAATAGATAGATATATAGGCTTTGAATAGAATACGGCTTTTCTTTTCGCACAAAGCTTATCTATTATTCGCAACGCAAATTGTACAGTTGCTATAATTTTTACTGCATTATTAGTGCAGTTTTGTGATATCCTTTAGACATCATTTCCATTACCAAGGACACATCGTAATGGACTCTATTTAAATTCATGAAGGATAATATATTTTCCATGCTCTTTTCACTAAGTCACACGATTAACGTCAGTTCTACCGAGATAATCTACTTATACGTATTCGTACGTACATACGTAATTATCGTATTAATTGAGAGATCGCGTTGAGACGATTTTAAATAACCCTATGTTAGATCAAATTACAAAAAGAAAAAAAAAGACAAGCGAACAAATCCACGAGAGGATTATATTCATGGATGGTCAAATATTACAAGGAGTAAGTCATACCGATTACACGTTATCGGCATTATGAATATATCAGAGGGATTTTAATTTATAAGCTGACTACTTCGGAAAAGTTCTTTGATGGTTTTTGAACATACGTCCTCGAAATAGTGGTGGCTTGATTCGTACTAGATTTAAATGATCGACATAGAAGTTGGCCAAGAAACGATTTTCGTTTACATGGCAGAATAGCGAAAAGATCAAAAAACAAAATCATTATTACCTTCGTTCTATAAATATAAAAACTGTAAAAAAAACTTTTGCAAAATGTATTTTCAAAATGTACTTTCTTAAATCTATGTAAAATCACGCACAACGCAATCAGACTCAGCATCGAATCTAACAGGCGAGATTTTATTGACTTTTATTTTATTTCATCTGCAGTCTAGTTATCTGTGAAGAAAAAAAATTAGAACGAGTTAAAGAACGAACAAATACGCTGGTCTAATCGTAATACCGTCTTGCACGGAGTCACACACAATTATTCGTTAAAACTGATTGATCGAAAAAAAATGGATTAAACATGGTGAAATCTCATAAATAACTTATAAACGGAAAAGTAAATATTTTGAAAGTATGGAGCTATAAATAAAATTGATATACGTATTTAATGTAGTAGATACTTGAAATAAAATATACGAAAAAAATATTTGGAATGATAAAAGAATATACGGGATTTTACGTCAACGCGGTATTTTGTAACAATGTGAGAGTACTTGAGACCACTCGGCCGAACGAAACCACTCGTCTCTTTCTTGACGTCTTCTTGCTCGAAGACGAATTTCGTCGCTCTATAAGCAGAAAAACACAGTCAAATTTTCATTCCGAGATATATATATATATATATATATATATATATATATATATATACATACGCTTATCTTTCTATATTAAGCCCGGTGTGAAATTTTATTGAAGAAATATACCTATATATATCGAGATTCTGTAGCAGCTGCGAATTAAAAACACGATATCCCAAGTTGATGAGCTCTGCTGCTTCGTAACGTATACGATGAAATATACGGAAAGTCCTAAGGTCGTACTGACTCGCGCATATATATCTATATATTTAGGTTATAGAGCATAAGAAATGCGAATATGATACGAAAATCGATCGATCAGGATTATTGTCAAAACGTGAAACAATATTTAGCGCTAGTATAAAAACGATAAATTCGAAAAACCAAATATTACGACATAATTCCCGGAAGGCCGACAATATCTTATAAACGCGACGATGCTCCGATTATTTCGGTCGATGCATCTTTGAAAATCATTCGTTTGACAATCGACCGATGTATCGGAAAAAGATGTAGGTATTAATTACTAGTAATTAGTGACATCCACGGAACAAACATACAGCCAATTTGGGACTCCGTAGGGGGACGTTTCTTTTTTTCACTCGATTTACTATTAGAAAATATGAAAATTATGTTATATATGAACGTAGAGGGATGAAAATGAATCGATCGAAACGATTAAAGTAAATCACTAAAGTGTAAATAAAGTGTAAAGAAAGAAAAAAAGAAAGGGGAACTTCGAATGCATCCAGTGCACGTGGAAATCGATGGCCGTTATTTGGCGCGCATTACTTTTAACGTTAAAAAAACAACGTAAAAGCCCATTTAGAAGTGCTACTTTGATAACGCAAATTAAAAACAATATTAAAATTCGGTAATAGATTTGAGCAAGCATAAATAAGTATGAATCGATTTTAAGTTAAAATATAAATTTAAAATGAAACGATGAAAAATCGGTGTTTATATTTTTTCAAGTTTTCACGAAGCATGATGAAAAATATAGATGCATCGTATAAATGCTAGAGGGGAAAATACGTACTTATCAAACTCGCGCGATATATGTTCTATCTATATATTAATATCGATATGAATTGCATTAATTCGCTTTTGATTTTTCTTCTGTTTCAGATCACGAAATTATTCAAAAACAAAGAAATTCTATTTGAATATTCAGATATTCGAATTGTTCTCTTTCTTACAAAACGAAAGACGTTTCAAGGAGAGAAGACATACTCGTTGTTTGAATTGTTAAGAACGGTGAAAGAGGAGGAAGAGAAAGCACATGATCCCTCTAGCAAGAAACTTTGTATAAAATAGTTTTCACTTAGAACTTGATATGCTAACCAACTCAGCGGAGTAACTAAGGAATAAGACCATGAGACGTAAATCGGTTTATCGAGAAAAATTAATTTCGACCAAAGAAAAGCGATTTAAGCCTTCGATTTTATTTTTTTCGAGTCTTCAAATTTAAAAATTAATACTCTTTTAGTGATTCGACGAATCCGATTTTTGACTCTTTCAATCGAGAAAAGACATAAATTTACGTAAAGAAAGATAAAGAAATATTTCTTTTCGACAAGGTGGAACGAGAAGATATAATAACGAAGAAGAGAAAGCAGTCATAACTGCAACGTCGAAGATGTAATTGCTTATTAGATGTAGTTGAAATGGACAAATAGACAAATAATGGATGGCCTCGATACAAGAGGCAGCACCTTGGAGCTCTGCGACATTCGGTACAAAAATTTTACGCCACCGCATGGAGGTAATGTTCTCTTTCTCATTTTTTCTCCTCTCTTTTCGATACATAGACTTGGCAAAATTTTCCTTCGCAAGGAAATTAGACGATTAAATTCTCTCTCTCTCTCTCTCTCTCTCTCTCTCTCTCTCTCTCTCTAAAAAGAAGAAGAACGACTCTTTCCTTTGCTTCTATTTTCGTAGAGCTATGGTGCAATTCTGTCTGGGACTCGTTGCTTTGTTGGCCGCCGACGAAAGCTTTCAGTACGGTCAAGCAAAGATGCCCTTTCGAGGATGGTTTCGACACGACGAGTAAGTAACCCTTGACTTGCATATAAATGAAACATTAAGCCGAAAAAATGGATAAAATCTATTCGTAGTAGCTCATCCGTAAGGGATTTCCAATTTAACGATACGTAACGCTCTGACATACGCGATACAGGAATAACACGAATTTTATCCTAACGCTTGTTTTTCTCTCTCGTTCGACTCGAACCAAGATAGTTCGTGTTTGCCAGCAACTTTGGCCCCTTGGGGATTCCTTGCGTTAGCCGAGAACTACGCCATAGTCGAATTTCCTGAGAGAGAGAGAGAGAGAGAGAGATATTAAAGGATAAAGCTCACGGTATATATTTTGAACGAAGGATAACAGAATGACTCGATGGAAAGGGATATAGGACTCAGAAAGGAACGAAATTGTTTCCCTTCGTCGTTTCATATCAATGGAATTGTTGCGTAAATAATAAAAATTATTGCTTCTTCAATGGCGACGCGTTGATTTTTATTTTGGCCAGGAACAAAGGCTGTTCCTTTTTTTCCGTGTCAATGGGAACGCTTTGTGAAATACATCGAACCGTCGAGTCGAAAGGAAAATGAATGGAAAGAAACATGGATCGGAAGGATTTTATAAAGATGATATCCTAGGGAAAATATTTCATGCGTGCATTTACATCGAGAATATGGTACTGAGAAAAAAAAGAAAAAAAAAAAAAAAAAAAAGGAAAAAAAGATATTTTATGTTACATTTAAATGTTATGTAACTTGACGTTTTCTCAGCGATTTCGCTAGAGTAAAATCAGATCGATTTGTTGGGACAGAATGAAACACACGTGCATCAGCATGGATGAACTTGGGTCGTGGAGATTTCGAAATGCAGTTTCGACAGGATGACAAATAACCAGTTTCGAAGTTGATGCTCACTCAACCCAGTTTGATCGAAATATCTCGATAAAGTAACGCAACCTAGACGCAAATGATTTTTCTTTCATTTGGTACCTTCCGACTCTTTTACGGAAAGCGATTTGCAACTATCTCGCGTTTTTAAATACAACGATGGAGGAATTCAAAGTCGAAATTGTCTTAGAAAAAGTTGTTAGGAATCTAGGAAATATTCTTCTTCCAGGAGAATATGGAAGATTTAAACGTTACACTATCCTGCTAAAAGCATATATTTATTCTCGCTTAAAGTATTTCTTTCTTTCTTTCTTCGCACGTTTATATGATAGCATTTATAAAGACAGACCTCGTTTCTTTACGGATCCGCGATTATACTTCTCTAGATAGCGTCAAACTCGCAAGAAAATGGAAGATTTATTAGCAAGTCTCGACGTTCGATCTGACTCGTTATTTTCGGATCGAATTTTTTACAACGATCGTGTTAGAATCGCGATCAGGGCCGTTTAATCGGATCTAATCAGGATCGTTTTCTCAATCGTCATTCAATTCTTACGTCCTTGTGCAACTTCACGTATCGCCGATTTATGTATTTACCTGAGGACGACCAATACTCCTGGATGGATGTCTCTCGAAGGACAAATTTCTTATTTTAGAATTCGTGGAAAAAAAGTGTGGTTACAACGGACGTTGGGAAGGACAAAACAGAAGTTCAACCGGTGAAGAGTCGACTCACGGATGGGCAAATTATACGACCTGCATGACGCCGGAAATACTTCATTTTCATGAGAAGGTTTACACAAATACGCAGGAAGGAGAGGTAATAAATTGAAAAGTTTAACAAGCGCTACGAAAAGACTTAAACGTAAGACGCACCCCTAACGAATTTAATCGCTTTTGGCTCGTTCAATTTTCTTTGACGGCTGAAAGAAAATAAGCTTGTTAAATAAGATATTGAGACGACCGAGACCAGTTACATTTTATGATCGAAAAATCATAGGCTGCCGACTGGATCGTAAATATAATCGATTCTTCGAAAGGGTTGATCGAAAGCCGAGTAAATGTTAATCGATGCCTTCCATTTACATACTTTCCATTTATATACTTTCCTCTCTTATATAGCAGAATTTCTAGAACTAATATTATAGACCCATTCTATAGACCCATCTAATGAATAAATGATTATATTTTGATTTCTAATTCGATCTTCGAAATTGCAAAACGTTTGAGAAATATCGACATTTTTCCATTGGCAGATTCGTTAAAATCAACTCGATATATGTACTTCGTAACATATATATATATATATATAAAGGGCTGGTTAGCGTAGGATGTGTCGACAGCTGTCTAAAAATTCGAAGCTTGGAAAAACGTATAAGAGAGAAAGAGACTTCATTCTTATCCTTTCTTTCGCGAATCATCATCCCTCCTTTTTGATCCTCGCTTTGATCTTCTCTCTCTTTCGTATCTCCACCATTCGTTGGATGAAGCAACGATAAGCCGTTATCGATCGTAAAGAAATTCGATCTCGAGTTAATTATCTCTTAAAGGACAAAGTGTTCTAACGTGCAACATAAATCATCAGAGTGATGTAGATACCGGTCGATCGTCGTTGGAATATAATATCATATTATTGACTTCTCGTCGAAAAATCGATTTTAGTTATGCTCACGATTATGCTCAAACAAAAACGAAAGTTTCGCTCTTATATAACGACATTCAATATTTATACGGCGAAATAACCAGCGGGATTGATTTGCTCGCATTGAAACAATATTTTGATAAATGTTGAATGTTCATCTAACGAGAGCGAAGAAGTTTAAACTTGATTTCTCCCAATGAAATAACATTCCATAGTTTTCTTTTTCCTTTTTCTCCTCTTACCGGAAAGAGTACCGAGGAGCGAAAGAAGTCTCGTAGATGTTGCCATTACAAAAGCGCTCCTTTCTTTCAGATGAAAATGGACATAGCCGAAAAAACGCGCACTCTCGAATTCGTCGGATTGAGCATATCGTTGGTGGCTTTGCTCGTCTCTTTGGTAATTTTTTGTCGATTCAGGTAAGTTTCTTAAATCCGTTCGTCGTAAACGAAATTCATCGGATAAATAAGAACGGAAATTGAATATTAAACGATTTAGGTACGAATAATAATCCCTAAACTTTTGATAGGTCACTGAGGAATACCAGGACAAGGATACATAAGAACCTTTTCGTTGCTATGGTCATTCAAGTTCTAATAAGATTGATCTTGTACATAGATATCGAACTTTTGAGAAAGAAAGCACACGGCACGCAACGTGGGATAGGAAATACGGTGAGTCAACATTAACGTTGAATTCAACTCGATAACTATTATATATTATATATTGTATGTACCGTACCTTTGTGTTTTTCGTAGCCGTTTCTCTGCGAGGCCAATTACGTTTTGTTGGAGTACGCTAAGACCGCCATGTTTACGTGGATGTTCATCGAGGGTCTCTTCCTTCACAATATGGTTACCGGTGAGTAGAATTTGGTGTCTCCGCGTGTCTGATGACTATTAGATTCGAACGACTAGAGCCAGTGGAGCAACGAACAGCCAACGACGAGATACCGTATACCCACGTACTGTACAGTTACATAGAATATATTACATGGAATTTAAATATGTGCATATAAAAACTATAAAGGAACGGACAATATAAATATTTACATAGAGGCGCATACGAACAAGTTTTTCTCAGAAAGTCGAGGAATCCTCTGTTCGTTTGAACGACCCTACCATTTACTTTTCACCTCTGTTCGCGATCGTGCGTTTACCTCTTACGCATTAATGCTCGTCTCTCTCTCTCTCTCTCTCTCTCTCTCTCTCTCTGTCGTGTAAAATAATCGTGTAAGAAATAGGAAGAAGGCGTGCGTAATAAATGCGTACAAAGAGGATGTGACGGCTCGAAAAGGAAGAGGAATTAAAAAATGGGGGAGGGAGCGAAGAAGAAGGAGAGTAGACGAATTTCCATGCATGTTAAACGGGCCATTTGCATCCGTTAACGAACATATCCGCTTTACTCGCTTTGACCGTACGTTTCTTGACGAAGAACACAAGTGCTTCCCTATACGGCCACAGCTTCTTTTCGTTTTTCAAATTGATCGAAAGCTCATTCGAAAGAAATTATTTTTTGAGACTTTGCGAATGAGTTGCCCTAAACATTTCAAGACTAATACTTCTTCTCGTTGCTATCGCAGTGACCGTCTTTCAAGAGACGTCTTATTACCGTATGTACCGATTCGTGGGCTGGGGATGTCCCGTCGTGATAACGTTGATCTGGGCCATCGTCACAGCGCTTTACTATCATCCCAAATCGAAGTAGGTTTTATAAATCTCTCGTATCGCTAAAAGTTTTTCGCATTATCAAAATATCTTTGATGTTGTTAGAACGTAAGGGACTCCTTTCTAAAGCGATCTATCTCTTTCGATAGATTTTTGAGATGTTGGTCGGGATACAATTTGTCTTCCTACTTTTGGATTATCGAAGGTCCGAGATATGTCTTAATACTGGTAAGTATTAACCTTGATCGGTTTTTCTCTTTTCTCCTTCTTTTTTTTCTTTTTTTTTTTTTTTTGTTCCAAACAAAAATGTCATCGAAGATACATAGACATATTGATACGTAAACACATTTTTAACAGATTCAAAAAGAAAATCATTAAAATGAATATTTCTAAAGAAAAAGAAAAAAACAAAATGATACACGTATTCCGAATTTTAATTCGTCCTCTTTCTTTCTCTCTAAACGTTTCAGCTGAATTTTTTGTTCCTGCTCAACATCATACGCGTGTTGGTTATGAAGCTACGGCAAAGTCACACCAGCGAGATTGAAAAAGTTTTGTAAGCTCCGACTGAATAAAATAGATTGTAATCGTCGAATAAATCTCTCAACTTTTTATTCGGTCGACGAACACGCATTTTCTTTCTTAATTCATCGTAATACGTCGTCATTGAATTATGTGACGAAACGACGAAGCTACTTGCCGCATGTCTTATTACGTAATTAATAAAAAAACTATCGATCGCTGTTCAGCGATTGTAATTTTGAAAGGAAAACATTCTATTCTGGATACTTCATTTTAGACGTTCGTCGACTAGAAAACAAAGGAGAGAAAGAACGTTCGTAAAAATGACAATCTTTTCGATCATTCGAGTTTTAATCTTTGACCTTTATGATTTTCAGAAAAGCTGTGAGAGCGGCCGTAGTTTTATTACCCTTGTTGGGTATCACCAACATCTTATTCATGATCAAAGCTCCACTGGACAACGTTAAGAAATTTGCCTTGTGGTCGTATTCGACGCATTTTCTTACATCTTTCCAGGGCCTCTTTATTGCGACCCTTTATTGCTTCCTCAATGGCGAGGTAAGAAATTCTCTTGGAAATAGACGGAAGGAAACCTTCCATCGCATTCCCTCAAGACAATTGAATATTTGCGATCGAAATATTGAAATAAAGAAAGAACTTGTTAGAGAGCTATAGAATTTATTTCTCTCGGTGTTTGCCTTGGAAAGTTTCTTCGACTCATTAGCATTAAAATCAATTTCGAAAGATTGATAAAGTTTCGAGCAATAATTAGCGAGTTAAACCGATGATACTAAAATATGAACACGTGCCTGGAATTTAAGCGATCGATGATACCTTAAATAGAAATACATCTGGGTGTTTAATGACGAAGAGTATGGAGCAAACAAAGTTCTCTCTCTCTCTCTCTCTCTCTCTCTTTTCCTTTCGCAGGTATTAAAATGCACACGTGTGAGGGAGAATCGTTAACGAGGAGAATCATAGACGCGCGTGTATAATCTTTGTCCCGTGTGCAAAATTGCGGTCAACTTTCGTATAGATCGTTCGATGAGAATAAGTCGATAAATCCAGCTAATGATAAAGTATATCGAAGAAACGCTGGGATTTATCGATGAATTTTCAATGGTGTATATGTACAAGCGTACCTTATAAATATCAATTATTGCCATCACGACGACAGGTGAGACTAGCTCTGGACAAGACCATCTCCGTCTATCTATTCCTAAGAGGAACGGACCTTCAAGCGAGAAGACAGTCGACTTACAGCGGTTGTCAGCCATATCGAATAACCTCAGGTAAGTTTACCTTTTTCTCGCTAACGCGTTACGATGAAAAGAAGAAAAAAAGTTAATCGATCGGTCATCAAAAATTAATAGAAAAAGCTATTATTACGTTGATTCGCTATTTCCGGAAATGGCATCCAAACGATAAATATGTATGTATCTTCCGGCGTTCGATGCCTCGGAAAGTATTTTCTCATACATTTCTCCAACGTAGAAATTGTCTCATTTCTTACATTGTCAACCTCATTTCGTTTGACGACATTCTCGTTGAAAGATGCGACTTTTCTTTTATCTTTCTCTTTTTATCTTTTTACTACGGTACGCACAAAATTCACGCACTCTGACGCCACCCACGCTCGTAGAGGAAAACGATTTTTAAATAGAATATGTTTGCGTTGTCGGAGTTACGAAAATAGATTAGTTGCAACCGTAATTCGTAGAATGGTGGGCGCGCATTGTTCGGAGTTATATCGTATTATTACATTGTATAAATAAAGGAAATTCCATTGTATAAATGATGAATACTTAATATGAATATTTAATTTGGTCTATCAGAGAGAGAGAGAGAGAACGTCGATTCATTCGCACATGTATATCTAACATGTTTGCAGAACGGCGCTCTGAGTATGGCAGTTCTTGCGAGTCTTCAACATCTAGAAACAAGGCTCGCGTTAGAACATCCCCTCGAGTTATTGAACATCCAGCGATGCCTTTGAACTTGACAACGACAACGACGACGATGACGACTACGACGACTACGACGACGACGACGACGACGACGACGAGGATGACGAGGACGACCACGACGACCACAACGACGACCACAACGACGACGACGACGACGACGAAGACGAAGACGGATAACGAGCAACTCATTGACGAAGCCAATGATTACACGATCACTATCTAAACGTCAATCGTCTAATGTAATCTCGCAACTATTTTCTCTATATCCTTTATTGTCATCATCGAGTATGGTGAAATATTATTCGAGCCAAACTCGATAAGATTAAAATGAATCGCTTGGAAAAAATAATGTTCAACGATCGCTTCGCGCAAGTTGAGCAATCTATGAAGCTATCTAAGTTGTATTAACTAAAAGTTTCTAACTCGATCGCGAAAAGTGTGAGAAAACGCGATGAGTGATTATGATCGATTCGCAGATTTGGACGAATAGAGAATTCGTAAAGTTCTAACTTGAACAACGTCGAACGACGATGAACGGGTGTTATCGCACGCATGTATACATACCTATATATAATATCAGATTTCTTGTTTTTCTTTCTTTTCTTTCTTTTAACGAGTCTACGGACGTAATGCGCCGCACGAAATCGTCGTTCGGAAAATTGTTATCCTAAAGAATAATGAAAAGTCCTTTTTAAGCGTGTATATCCTATAACTTATATGTGTACCCACATAGAAATAAGAAATATTAATACTCTCAAGTGTAAGCTATATGGTTTACGATATAACATTTTATAGACATATAAGATAAGGACTTGATTGACGTGCTTGATAAAAAAGAAAAATAATAAAAATCACATATTAAATGTTGTCGTTGTTGTAGAGCTTTTTCGAAACACGTAATTAGGGCATCTTGCCAATTCGATTAGCATTGGGTAAATAATAAAAAAAAAAATTACCCGGGAAAGGGCAAATCTCTTGATATTGATTGAACGGATAAAGATAAAAATAGAAAACTTTGACTAATTTCGATAATTGACCGATAACCGACAGCTAAAGATAAAACGTGAGAGCAAATAGAAACTAAGAGGAGTAGCTATTGTGTATTATTATCGTCGTTTTCGATTTGCAAACTACGAGAAAGTTGCATGACAAAAGTGTCCTTATATCGTTTAGAAAAATCTTAAGTTACGATTGCTCGCGAAGGAATATAGTTTAAAGATTACATTATCCATATCCACGCAAATCTTAGAAACGTCCTTTTAATACACGATATAAATAAGAAATTTATTGCTTTGCATTGTACATGGTAATTAACATATTCGGTAAAGAAATTCTGTGTCCATACGCGAATACGGTACAATATACTCGCCTCCTCTTCGTCTCCTCTCTCACCGCTGGTACGTACCTAGTTATACATTATAGAAATCGCCCATACAATTAAAGATTTTTCTCAAACTTTTTGTTCAAACTTGGCTCGTGCCCAAGTGCTTAAGCCGATGATAAATATTATTTGTTTCTCGAGTCTCTGTAAAATCGATACATGTCGATTGTTGTTAATAAAAATATGAAAAAGCCGTGGAAGCATAAAAGGCTTGGCTCTCATTCCCTTTCTCCAAATCGAAAATACGAGGAGAGGTGAGTGAGGCGATATCAGTTCGAAAATACACATACCTCTCTCTCTCTTTCTATATATATATATATATATATATATATATATATATTCGAAAAAATGATTTTATTGCGATAGAAAGACACAAAGGTGACAATATATAGGAACCGTTCTATGTATAATACATCCCGTTCTACGATACATGTACCTCTTTAGAGTATGCGTAAATATGCTCTTGCTTCGTTACTTTCTAATACAAGACAAAATAAAAGAAAAAATGTTCTCTGTAGCTCTCTATCATGTAGCTACCGTTTCGCAAATTATTGTAATATTTTAATATGGATCGATCGATGATCGACCGTGATAAAACGCAGAATCGAAAGAACAAAAAATTGTACATAGAAAGTTATACGAAGGACGGACTTATTGACTCCTTAACGCTTAAATTTTAATGCCAAAACTGTTCGATATACGTCGAAACGACGAATCGAATCGAATCGAATCGAATCGATCCGACAAGGTGAGTATCCTTCTTTTACCATAACGCGATATCGTATTTATAGAATATAAGTGTACCTTAATAACATAGCTACACGTTAATCGAAATGATATTTTACGTCGAAGAGACTATCACAGACGCGTTGTCAGAAATCTAATCGGTAGTCCGGCATAAAGACTATAAAAGAGTATTGTCTTTTTTAATATATAACAATGTATTGCTTATACTACGCATCCTCCGAGGATATTGAGATTTCCCAGATATATCGATATCAGAATTCGTCGTGGAAACTTTTCTCGGTGTCGACCATTTTACTGCATAAGAAGAGATCCGTCTTGCTCAAAACTTCCGAGAGATTTAATTTCCCATCGAGATTAATATCCGAGAGATTGATCAAATGTTGGGCCTCTTGAATCGCGTGCCTCGGATTCCGTGGATCGATATACATCTAAAAAGAAAAGAAAAAGAAAGAGAGAGAGAGAAAGAAAGTAGGAAAAGAGGAGAAATGCGAGAGAACGAATGCAAAATGAGATACGAAACACCGACCAAGAGTTCGGTACGGTCTGCCTTCCCATTTTTATTTTTGTCGATGAGATGACGAAACTCCTTTCGCCTGTCGGCGCTACCTCCGACGGTTTGATGCCGATCTTCGTCGAGTTCCAAGCCAACACCTTCGGACGGCAAATCCGAAAATTCGTCCTCCGTCAGTTGCTCGTCGCCGTCACGATCTAAGCGAATAACAATATAGACAGGGAGGAGGAGGAGGAGTAGGACGACGACGACGACGACGACGACGACGACGACGACGACGACGACGACGACGATGTAGATACGATATAATGATATAATGGAATAATAATGATAATCGGTAATCAGTCGGATTACCAAATTTCTCAAAGAGATCCTCCACCATTTGCAAGAGTGCCCTGTGACTGCTTTCCGGATGAGTAAAGGCCAAAAATTCGTCCAACGTCAATTTCTCCGGATCGTTTCTCGCCGCGTCCGTCCACCTAGCTCTGTCCCTCATGATGCTCTCCTTCAACGTTCTCGACATTTCTCTGTGCCTCTTGTCGTGCGAACGAACGTAACTCTCCGGGAAACCGTGCGTTCGTAAAAAGTGCGCGTGGTATTCCTCCCACGAAACTTCGCCTATACGAGGACATAGAGGAAAGCGAAATGAAAAGGCAATCTTTCGATCGAACAATTTCAAATTCAGTATTGTCCAATTATTTTCGGGCGATTTCCAAAGGATATAACATAATGGATAGGAAACTATATGAAAGTAGAAAATTTCCTTCTCTTTCTAACGCTGTCTAATTTATTAATCTCAAGGTATGCGCGGTACGGTGCTTGAACGGTAATTCTGATCGAAGGAAATGCGAACGTGACCGGTTTAAAACATTTCCTTACCGTTTCCTTACCATTTCTTGGATTATTGTCGATGGCAGTGAAGAGACCGACGTTGTCTCTCATAGCACGACGAACGTGTTCCGTGATCTTAGCGTGAATCCATTTGGCAAGTTCCTGAATGTCCAACAATTGATTCTCGTCGACGTCCGCCCTTCGAAAGATATCCTCCAACAAACTTTTCGGATCCTCACGATTCTCCGTCTCCTCGTGCTCCCTTATACTCTCCTCGTCCGAGATACGATCGAGAGCAACGTTCTCGTAACGATCTCGTTCCTTCTTTCCGATCGTCGCGGCCTCCAATTCGAAAAATAGGCTCTCGATCGCGGTATCTTCTTTCTCTTTGTCGTCGTTACTTGAGACGGAGGCCGGGCTCCTTAGAGGAAAATTTTTCTTGTACCAAACGATTAGAAAGGAGACATATATCACGAGTGCTACCAAAATGGTCCACCGTAAGAGCCTCAGCCATGGGAAATTATTCGCCCGACAAATCATTCCTTCGACATTCTACGATGGTACATTCGTTGGACGAGATTATGGAGCTAAGGATGCGTCTACTCGCCAAGAAGTCTACTTACACAATATCGGTCCGATATTCATCGCGGTCAATCGATCCGTGACTGGTATCTATTATTACGTTTAGAAAGGCTTTCTAAAGAACGCTCTCTCGTTCGAGCCTCGAATCACGATCTTTCCCAAGGTCGCACAAATCGCAATTTCCAAACTTTGTTCACTTACTTATGAAAACAAAAAGAGAAGTAATAAGTTCGCACGTTACCACGATCGCATATGGATTCGTTGAAAAACGCTCGGAGTATTCGATCGTCGAGGATGCGAGGATGCAACGGATCAAATCGCGAGACGACGAGTCGTTTAAAGAAATACAAAATCGTCCTCTTCCTTCTTTTTCCCCTTTTTCTTTGTTCCCTCGAACAAAGTGTCGAGAGATACTTATTCAACGCGAGCGTTCTCTCTCATCGAACGTACGATACGGCTTTAGGATGGAGACTCCATTCTCGTACGCCACCAGGCGGGTCAAACGTTCGTACGCGTCGTCGTATTGATCCACTTTCACTCTAACCTCTCTCTCTCTCTCTCTCTCTCTATCTCTCCCCCACTTGCACCTATCGCTCTCCTGGTACAGGACCGAGTTTTCACAACGAACGTACCCTAATTGCTTTTTTTCTTCTTCTTTATCTATGATGGACAACGAAATAATCGAGAAAATACTTGATCGTGTTATTTATTCAACAAACTGACGTACATTCTGACGGTCTAAAATTTGCCGGTGCAGTCATGAAGAAAGAACAAGGAAAATATAAAATAGACGGACAGCCATGGTCGATAGCTTTTAATAGCTGTATTTTTCATTTTCTTGTCCATTTCGAATACATCGACAACAAAATCAAGTCGACGAACAGAACGAAAATCTATGTCAAAGTCGATGGTTTCCGACGAGCGCATCGATCAACTTGGCATCATCTTTCCGTGAAGATATCTTTCCGCTTGATACCTGAAATCCATCGCTATTTCTTTGTAAATCAGTTGTCCGAGGAAGTTAGAGGATAGGGTTAAGGATCTTGCGCATAAGAATAATACATATTCTTTTTAAAATTTCAATAAAAAGGAAAGTACGAAGAAATTCTACCGAAGAGATTTTTTACCCGTCGACCTGAGTTTATACCAGAGAATACGCGATCCTGCCGATCATTTTAAATAATATCGATGAGAATAACAATATCAGCAGAATGATAGATTAATAGTAATAATAATAATAATAATAATAGCAAAACGACGATGAAATTAGTCAGCGAAAAATAATATTAGCGTGGCTGTCAAATCGAAGAAACGATCGACTTAAATCTATTCGTACAACCGTTTCGTCTTAACATATAGTCTACTCGTTAGATGATACACTTAACGTTATCGCAAGAGTTCGTTAGATCTTTCTCAATAACGGATTATAAATCACTAGATTCCTAAAGTCTTGCTTTTTTCTTCTCTCTCTCTCTCTCTCTCTCTCTCTCTCTCTCTCTCTCTCTCTCTCTCTTTTGTTAATAAATGTTCGAACAAGCCACACGTTATCCCTGTAACCGAGCAATGACCCGACGAGCGACTCGTCTCGCGATCAAAAAAATCTATACGAATATTACCGGTACGCGTAAGACCGTGATCTTCGCGTTAACGTTCGAAATAAGACGGAGCCGATCACTTTGGACCCTTACGAGTGTCCGCTTTCTCATCGTCGAGTTCCAGGCCAAAGTTCGCAACACCTTGAACGTTCCTGTTCGATCTTCGTGTTTTCGTTCGCAAGCGAAATATGGCTGCGATCGGTGGACTGAGAAGATCTTGATCGAGTTCGGCCGGATTTTGTAGACCGGTAAATAGACTGACTATGAGACCAACTGCCATCGTCAGAACGCAACCGATAGCGCTATACCAGAGATAGCTCGTCTATCGAAAGAAAGAAAGAAATGTAAATAAAAGTAAGTCTCGAAACGGTCGTAGCCCTTTTTCCTTCTTACCCTGTATACGGACGATATCTCGCTCTCCTCGGGTATATCGGTCGACTTCATCGTCGCCGATATCGTACCGTTTAAACAGGTACATCTCTCAATCGAGACAAGCTTACTCCCCAAATGTATCTGCCCATTGATTATTGCAACTTGAGCTCCTAATCCGATCCATAGAACTATTGTCAGACCGACGATGGCACCTGATATGGCTCCTTTAGCATTAGCCCACGGTACGAACATCCCCAAAGAGAATAATCCCAGGGTAACTCCACCCACCATACCATTGAAAGATAGAGCCACCTAAAGACAATCGGTAAAATGATCAATCGCGAACAAAAATTAACAATGCGATTAATAATACGTTTTACCTGAAGAACGCTACCAAGACGTTCCACAACGAAGATGAGAGCGAAACCGAAGACGCCAAAGAATATACTGATCCATCTGGCATAAGTTGCTCCCTTCCGTGCCGGTAAATCCATTTTGAAAAGTCCTTGAAGAACATCCTCGCACGTGATTGCGGCCAAGGAGTTTAAAGCACTTGCGACCGTTCTAAATATATATATATATATATCAAAAGAGGTTGAATAAAATTGAATAGACGCGAAATACGTATTTAAAAATATTGCTCATATTGTAACAATTCGATATGCTAACCCCAAAGAAGCCGCAAAGATACCGGCGACGAAGAGACCGGGCATGCCGCGAAGGCTACCCAAGTGATTCATCACATATAGGGGCAGTATTTGGTCGGAGCCGGTTATGTAGCCGGCCGAAAGCGGATCGCAGTCTTTATAAACGCTATAAAGTACCATGCCCGTTAAGAAATTGATCGTATATATTACGATCATTCCGAAACTGGATACCCATAAAGCCCTGTAAAAGCAATAATCGTATGAGGAAGAATCGAACGTATTCGTTCGAACATTTAAATCGGTTCGAATCGATCGAACTTACGTTCTGGCTTGGGAGATGTTCGCTACGCTGAGATACTTTTGGACGGAAGCCTGATTACTGCAATACATGGTGGTCCAATAGAAAGTACCACCAACGACGACGCTCCAAAAGCTGTGTCGTACCGTTGGACTCGGATCCATATTGAAGATCTCCATTCTTCCGCTTTTACGATTGTCTTCCCAGACGAGCGAACTCCCACCTGCCCAGGATAAACCTAAACCGACAATGAGGAAGAGAGATCCTAGGAGAACAGCTGCTTGAAACGTGTCGGCCATTATGACAGCTTTCATGCCACCCTGCGTAGTAATAGCGTATCCTATCTGTATCTTCGAGATATATTGAAATTTATTTAAAGTAAATGCTCTGTTACCAACCTGTGAGGCGTAAAATATGCAGACTAAGTAGACTAGAGTGACGGCTATGTAAGTATTAAGGCCTGTGACTGCGTCAAAAAATGGGAGAAAGTATTAATCTACGTCTCCTCGTGATTAGAAAAATATAATGGATGCTGGATAATAAATGTTGCGGAAGAATACGAGAAGAAAGTTTACCATGACTTAAAGCTAATGCCGGCGCGTAAACGGCAACTGACGTATAAAAAATCATTTGAAGCATGTACAATCCGCTTGCGAGTAATCTGCAATGTCGATCGAAGCGTAAATTCAAGTACTCGTAACTCGAGGTCAATCTGAGCTTCATATAAACTGGCAGATAGAGGTAAGAAGTGATCGGTACCACAAAAATAAATGCCAGGCATGTCATCCAAAATTGAGTGCCCTGAAACGCATAAGTTACGGATTGGTAGTCATGTTTACGAATTGTTAAGCAGTCCGACGACTACCTTATAGAGAGCCCTTCTAATACCTACCTGGGCGTACATCTCCGCAGGATTCCCAAGGAGTTCGATTGCCGTGATAAAACTCGCGGCCAAGGACATGGCCATGGGAAAAGTGCCCATGGAGGAGCCACCGAGTAGAAAATCCTCGCTGGTTTCTTGCTTCTTCGCGAAGAAACCGTAGAAGGTGCCAATCATGCAGGAAACGAGTAGCATCGTACCGAGAACCGCGTAATCGGCCCAGGAAAAATAATGAAGTAAGAACGGCCGATCGTTCTGGCAATCGTCCGTGGTTGCATCGGTTCGCCGTTGTTCCGCCGACGAAGCCGACAGAAAGAGGAAGAGCACGAACAGACGTGGCCGCATTTTTTCGAATCCCTGCCGAAGGAATTCATTCGATATCAAGCGCTTTTTCTCTTTCTTTCATTTTTTCTTTTTTTTTGTTCCTTTTCTTTTTTCTCTCTTTCTTTCTTTCGACCTTACGCCGACCTTACGCATCGCCTACGTTGAAACGACCGTTAAAAGACTTTGACATTGAGTTGCTTGATTACGCGTCATCATCGATCTGGCCATTAATTAACGCGATTCGTAACTCGAATCGTTAGAAGGCGTCCGAGTTGACACATTCTCAATCAACATTCTTTTACTTGTTGATGCAATTTGCATACCAGATCCGGCGATTCATCCAAGCGCTGAATCGATCGTCATCGCTACCTTGTACGAAAGAGAAACGTTAAAATCGACTGTAGCTTTCAACGATGCAAAATTATGAATACGGTCACGTGCTTGCATGGGCAATGGCTTACGAAAGCGATCAACGACGAAGGTCGGACGAGTCCTTATTATAATTATTACTTCTCCGTTGCGCTAACAATATTAACGATTTGCATGCACGAAATGTTTATTAGATCGAGGAAGGAAACCATAGGAGAAAATCACGGATTAATCCGCAAAGAATGAAAGATATGGATTGGAAAGATATGGGAATATGATCGACGATCGTTATTACGTCAGTGGAGAAAAGCCCAATAGAAACGAATAGGACTATCGGGAATCGAGCGCGTAAATTGACGGTAGATCGTTTTAGACGCGTCTCAATTGATCCTTACACTTGACATCGGTCGCAGCCTTGATCTTGTCGCGCGTTTACCATCGACTTTTTTATCCGATCGATCTCATCGATTCCGGTTTATGTGATCATCGAACTATCGAACCGCTCTCTGTATCTAATGCCGCATCGAGAAATTGTTATCCGGCAATTACGTAACCCACCGTTTGACCTCGTTAAAAGAACCGATTCGATCGATGGCAAAATAAAAAGAAAAATAGAAGAAAAATATTTTTCACCGCGATGAATCGTTTAGAACCACTGAGTCGTGTTTGCGTCATCGGTGCACTATCACCTGCAGAGACCGAACGACTATCGGTCGGTCATCGTTAAGAGAAATCTAGTGGTCTTAACCGGTCGAAACTGGTTATTCTATTTTTTCTTTTAAAATTTAAATAGTCCGAAAGAGATTTAGATTCACGATCTAAGGGAATATTTGTTCGTTTATTTTATCATTTAGTATTCCGCGCGAACGATCTTTCGTCCGAGTTAAAATTCAAACGCAATCCCAATGGAGCGCTAGGGAAAGAACCCTAGCCCCGCCACCCCCCCCCCCCGCCTGATTACAACGCGTACTATTAACGAAGTAGTTGGTAATAAACGTAAATGTCACGTACCTCTTGTCTGTCGAGGATGACGAGCAACGTATCAGCTCCAGTTCCTCGATTCCGCTTACGCTAGGATAAACGCCTAAGAATTTTCTTTTTCGCGTCAGCTAGTCACGCGTCCCGAGCAAAAACGTACGAAATTGCAATTGTATGATCTTGCTCGTTTTCCTGACGTAGCGCATATATGTATATGAAATAGGAACTTTCGGTGAAACGAATTTTTATCTCTTTCTTTTTATCGACGATACGATCAATGCCACATATTCTTGCCCTTTGATTACGGTAACGAAGGATATTCTAATCTCGTTGTTATTAATCTTATTTTCGTGAAAAGTTAAGAAGAAAAGGTAAGAGATCGCGAAACGTTAGGAGTCGAGAGGATTAAACTGAGAACGGTTTTAAGACTGGCCGTTTTAATTGTCATGTGAGCGCCTTTATACGTTGCATCCCCTTCTACCCGTATAAAATGTGTGTGTGTGTGCGTGTGTGTGTGTGTGTGTGTGTGTGTGTGTGCGCGCGTGCGAACGCGCGCGCGTGTCCCGTCGATGGTACATCGTAAAGACGCTCGTAAATAATAACAATTATTGCGACTCTTCCGTGACGAGAAGCGATGAAAGGAGTACGATTCGACGATTTTCAGGATAGAAACGTAACTAAGTTTAACTCGAATTAAGTCCGGCGAAGGATCGATCGCGCGCTCTTTGATCTCTTTCCGCTTACCGTATCGCGGTATCATCTTCGCGTTCGTGCCGTTCGGACATCGGAGAAAACGTTACGGAAAGATGTTGCGTTTGATAATGACGCAACCCAAAACGAATTGGTTTTTCCACAATATTTGCTTTTATATTTCATATCGAAACCATCTTTAGGCGCAGATCCATGTTGAGAAGAGCATCGTGACACCGAATTCGTTGAATCTATAAATAACGCGTCGTCATAAGACTCGTCTAATAATCGGTAAATGATGTAAACTAAAAGGCACATAGAAAGAATGAAAGGCGTGTGAAGGAACACGTCGACGTAGCGTAATTCGACGCACGTGTTTGCATCGTGTAAGCTCGATCTTATCGCGTTACTAAACTATCATTGGGTTGTCGTATACGTGGCGAATTGCCATCTGATTCGATTAAGAATTTGCCTGCGATTCGTTTGTTTAAACATTTGTTTACTTTATACGTGAGAAACGTATGAAAAAGCTTTTCAACGATCCATTTGCGTATGATTTGTCCGGTTAAAGGCAGCTCCTCTCGCTGATCGAATTCCTCCTCAATGGAAATTGCGTTTCACTTCGAAGCTCGTGCAAGCCGGTGTTAATTTAGGCCCTCTAAAGACCGCAACCGCAAGAAGAGTGGCGTCGTCGGAAAGATCGAGTAACGTTTACGATGAATGTCGAGCTTTTACGACACGTCGAGTCGACTTAAAAAGGACGAAACGGACTCCCAGCCTTTCCCAGGAAGAGACGAAATATCTAATGACACTCTTGACGCGTTCGCGATTAACTCTTATTTTATACTATTCTGTTTGTATTCGATATTCGAAAAGGAAAGAAAAAAGGGAAAAAAAAAGTTCCTTGCCGGTCGTGAAAGATGATCCCTCGTGAGAGATGATCAATATAGTTATGAAGCGAAACGACGGGTAAAGATCTAGATGAGGGCAAGCAGGACTAACAACGATCGTTCAGGAACACAACAAACGGAACAGGAGAGATCTCCTTCAAAACGTTTCATCTAAACATTTCCCCGTCGCCTCGTCACTTTGATATACCAATGAACGTTGCCTATTGGTTACTCGTAATCGAAAGTAATATAAGTCGGAAAAGGTGTTAGGCGCAAATGACGGAAATGAATTTTCAATAAACGAATATTCCAAGTGTCCTAGGGGTAGGAAATACGAGGAAGAAAGGTGTATCATCTCGATCACGAGACGCAACCCTGACAAAGAGACGAATAATAAAAGGAGACAAAGAGTTACGACTCGGATGCGGTAAAGGCCTTGATTAATTAATTGCTCGGCTAACGAATACGGCCCGTCTCCTACGAATAGAAAATATGTCCGAGTGTCGCTGTCATACTTGACCGTTCTCTTTCAGTGGAAAAATAATTAAAAAGGGCCCCCGTGCTCGATCGGACTGCAGCAGCTCGTATAAATTGAAACTGGTTTCAACCGACCGACGGTGGTTCAATCTGGTGACACATGGCGATGGGATGGAATCGGCACCCATTCTTCTTTACAATATTTTACGACCACATCACATTCCCTCTCCTTGATCCGAGCGAATCTCTCAAATTTTCAAGAGAGCAAAATGTCCCTTTGTCTTATTCTATTTTTAGGAATTCACGATAATTCTATATAACAATTGTGCGTGCTTTTATCACATAAAATCAATTTAATCGTTTTAATATTTTATTATTAACACAATTTTCATATTCGATTTGACATAAATATAATGATCGTATTAATACTCTCGCCTTAAACGGTACAAATGATGCAACATTATAAAACGACATATAAATGTTAGATTTTATTGTATAAATAATAAGTAGTAGTTGCGCCTTTTGTGCGGTCACATCGCATTAAAATTTCTGATAGGCCTCGCGATGAGAACTGCTTATTGTACTTTGAACGGCATACCGTTTTTATTCTAAATTCGCATAGAAAAACTATATTAAGGAAATACGTAAGTACAATGACATTGTAACGACTATTTATGGAAGACGATTATATAAATTCAATAAAATACACGCGAGTATTATATGCGAATTAGATTTTTCTATGCGGAAACCTATATAAAAACAAAAAAAAAAAGATCTCACATAAAGTATATAAAAATGAATGATATTAGATACTTGCACCAATTTTATCCAATTATTTCGTCAGATGATACATCAACGTTAAACGTATATTTTTCTTGTACCTTATTATGCAAATTTACAAATTGGCTGCATTCGAAATGAGATGATTGCTCTTTGCGTAATCGTTTGCCGATTATTGGAAAAAACAAATTAGGATCTAACTCTTTTTGAGTTCGTTTAAACGTGCACCGAACTATATTACTGACTAACAGTCCAACGATAACAGTAATTAGGAACCCGAGTGGTGCATACCACATATATGATATACGATATAAATAAAAATAGGACGTATCATCGATTTTTCTGAAACAAATGTACAAATTTTTTCTTTTTTTTTTTTTTTTTTCCTTTTTTTCTTCTTCTTCGAGAGGTACTATTTTTCTCATAAGATATTACAATACTAATTGAAATATATTACTTACTGAGAAGATAATTTCATTGGATCTTTTAAAACGCTTAACGTTATATTTTTTATTGTATCTACATCACAGCCATGCTTAGATAGTATTAATTTAGGAGGAACGGGTCTAGGTTGTCCATAAGCGATCCACAAGAGAAAAGCAAGTGATAGTATCATTCCCGATATAGCTCCTGATTCTATTGCGGATTCGCTAGTCATTCCCAATGTAAAAACTCCCAAAAGTGGACCACCAACGACGCCAAATATTGTCAATCCTGCCTACGATGAACAGCTGTGATTTATTATATTTTTCCCTTATAAAAATAAAAATTGTAAACAACAGTAACATACTTGTAAAACGCCACCTAAAAGTTCAGCGAGAAAAGCCAAAGCGATAGAGATTAGTCCATAGGCGAGCGCTATCATTTTTCCAATATTGGCTGAACTTGTTGGGCTTAATTCTTTATGTGTACAACGACTGTATACGGGTTTGACGTAATCCTCTAATGTAACAGCTGCCAAAGAATTTAAAGCCGCAGATATTGTACTGAGACCAGCACTGAAAATGCCTTTTAAAAGATAAATGAAAGAAAAGACAATTAAACGCGCAAGTATGAACGTATCGATTGATGTATATTAACTTTATTACTTCTTTTGCATGTATATATATATATATTCTTTATTATTTATTGACCTGCTATGAAGAGACCCGGTAATCCGGGAAAATAATGCATAGTATCCATTACATACAATGGCATTAACATGTCCATAGAAGAGATTCTTCCATCGGTTAAAGGATCGCAGTCATAATATTTACTATAGATCGATAATCCGGAGAAGCACGTTGCCACAGAGAGCAACATTAAAATGGGCAAAGATAACCATAGCGCTAGTTGCGCTTCTTTTAAACTCTTAACAGTTAGCAAACGTTGCACTTGAACTTGATTTACTCCGTACAAAGACAAAAAGGTAGCCAAACCACCAAAAATAAGCGACCACCAAGTATGTCGTTCCGTTGGATATATAGAAATGCTAAAAGAATACAAATATAAATTTATCGAATAATATAATGTATAATATAATATTAAATAATAATAAAAAGTGGAAGTACTTGTCAAATTCTATCCGTTGTCCCATCTTGGCAATTTCCCAAATTTTCTCTATACCTCCTATCTCATACGAGGCTATAATAATAATAATGATAACAGAAGCGAACATAAGCATACTCTGGAATACATCTGTTATTAAGACAGCCTTAATGCCTCCTATACTGGAATAAAAACTGCAAGCCAATCCAATTATTATGATACTTCCGGATTTAGAAATTCCTGTAGTTGCCTCCAAAGCTAATGAAGGTGCATAAAGTACAATTCCAGAATATAAAAGCAACTGTACCCAGTAAACAAAACTAGCCATCATTCTAGTTTTAACGCCAAAACGCTTTTCCAAATACTGAAAGATGTTAATTTTTCAAAAATGTATTATATCAAATGAAATTTATACAATTATAATGGTTACCTCATATGCGCTTGTTGCTTGAAGCTTAAAGAATACTGGTAAAAATCCATAACAAACAATAGGCGTACCTATAACGTATGATAAATTTATAACTACGAATTGTGTACCATAATAATAATTTTCAGACGATAAACCTAGCAAAGTAATAGCCGACATGAATGAGACCATGAGTGCGACTGCAACGGGAATAACGTTCATTGATCGGCTTGCAATAAAGTACTCCTATGAATGAAAATGTAACACTTGATTAATTTCAATTAGTTAACCATAGACTTTGCAAGTTTTCAAAGGGGATATTTTTCAATTACCTCAATTGTTTTTTGTCGGCCTCCACTAAATCTATAATAAATACCTATACCGATACTTATGGAAAGCATGATAAATATAACTGTATAATCGAGCCATCCTAACGTCGTTGTTACTCCCATATTAATATCTGTAAATTACAGGTGCTAGTAATCTAAAAATACAATGTTATGTTAATTAACTGACAAATATTACTCATTTGAAAATCTTAAAATAGAAAAGTTTTCAAACTCATTCATAAAATTAATATTTCTGATGAGAGCCAGTGGCTCTTTATTACTCATATCCGTCTACGTCCCCAAATATCTCATTTGTTCACTGATTTTTATGTGAGATAAAGGGAGATATAACGGGATTAACGTCATATGATGAATCCTTTAATAAAATTTAATTTTATCTAATCGATTGTGAAAAGAATTGAAATCGTGGAAGGATTAAAGTTATACGTATCGAAGCCGGCAAAAAGTTAAAATATAATTTTATAAAACTGCCAAAATGAATCGAATTTATTATTTTCTTATTTTAATGCGCGTAATCGGAGAGAACGTTTTCAATAATGGAAAATTTTATTCCATTCGTACCTATGTAGATATAATATAGAGTGGTATTTAAAATAACACAGCAAAAAAAAAGGCTCGTTACTCGATCAAACACGAAACATTTCAAAACTTATATGTCATATGAAGATTAATAAACTCATATCTCTTTTATTATTTCATTGAGGACACGTTAAATAAACACGAGGAGAACGATCGAACGTCATTCACGCAAAGCCACGGTCGTACTAACTCACATGTCCGACTTTTGTCCCATTTATATGAGAGGATGTAATTTTATTGCGTTCGCATTACTCCCACTTCTATCGACGTAAATCCACGTTCACATTGAATAAATCCTTTTATCGAATTTTTGCCGGAACAGTGAGAGGAAATGTTTTTTCATTGTTTTATTTATTTTATAAATAACAAGATTATTCATTACGTTTGCAAGGAACGTGAATTATTATTAAAACGCATTATATATTGTTGTTCTTTCGATAAGAAACAGGGTTAAAACAAGCGTAATAGGTAAATATCGTAAATGGCTTAATAATAATCAAGTGAACCGTTTGTAAACTCGTTTATCAATATATCAATAGGTTAATATTTCTCAATCGAGTATTTTATCAATGGCATTGTTGTGTTGTCATTTCGTTTGCCCTTTTTTTGATAGTTTAATTTACATAGAAACTCCACTTTTTGCATTACATATGTCAAGCGATATCGATAATCGAATGTACCGATTATAAAACGATTGTGCCTGTATATCGATTCTTTTCCCATATCGAGCCAATATGGGATATCTATTGGCTCGTCAAATTCCTGTCTCACGTACCAGACTTCAAATGGCGGATTACAGTGAAAAATGTGGTGAAGATTGTTCTTTCGACGATTACAGCGACGATAAACACAAAGGCGTATGCCTCATTAAAGAAGAGTAATTTTTTTATTATTACGTTATAATCGTTACATAAATCGTCGTATCATAAATATTGCGTTGCATTAATAGAATTATAACCTCAAAACGATCGTCGCGCATCGCGTTGTTTCACAGATTTCTTCGTTGTTTCGCGCCTATCGGTCGGATTAAAAGAGTCTTGTTTTTGAGAGGAATCTTGCAATATTAAAGAAATATTCATTTCTATTATAGATTCATCATTGAAGATAGAATAAGATTACAAAATGAAGAGTGCCTTGTCGGGACAAACAAGCGGAGTGCAGAAGAAAGTATCAAGGCACGTGACGAGGAAACAACGTCCCATGAACTTTCACCGAAAAGATTCAAGTCGGACGATAAGAAAGAAAAACTTAGGGGTCAAAATAAGGCTAGGCCGCCACCATTCAAAACGTTGCGCGAAACGAATTTGTGCCCATGGATAGCGGATCAGGTGGAAGGAGAAGTTGAGAAAAAATGTGAAAATAAACGTTGTTCATTCCTGCACGATCGAAAAGAATATTTGCAGATAAAGCCAAGCGATATTAACGAGGATTGTTACCTTTTCGATCTAATGGGTAGATGTCCTAGAGGCGCCGCATGTAGAATGGGTTCCAAACATCTGACCGAAGATGGCTTCAATATAATAGACGCGAATAAGTTACAAGAATATAAAAGGAAACCCTCGTCTACGCAAAATCAATTGTCAAAGCTTCTTCAAAATAAGCTCAGAAAGCATAAATATAATTTTTCCAAGGCAGAAACAATCGTTAAAGGAAATAATCCTTCCGCCAAGAAGATATCTACCAAAAGTCGGACATTGAGCGATACCGAAGAAAGGATATATTCAAGAGTAAAGAAAGACGACGAAGAAATTGATAAAGATTTACATTTGGAGGACGTTCTTGTTGAAGAAGGCGCAAAGAATGATGAAAGGGAAGAACCAAGAGTCGGGCCCGTGGAGGATTACGATTTGATTAAAATTCGACCGTCGGAGAAAAAAAAGATCGATTGGAAGAACAAAGTAATGTTGAGCCCTTTAACGACCGTGGGTAATCTTCCATTTCGTAGGATTTGCAAAGGTTACGGCGCCGATATTACTTGCGGAGAAATGGCATTGGCTCCTAAAATATTGAAAGGAGCACACGAGGAATGGGCTTTGGTAAAACGACACAAAAGCGAAGACATTTTTGGCATACAATTGTGCGGTAATAATCCTGGAGTATTGACGAGATGTGCTCAGTTATTGAACGAAGAAATTGATATAGATTTCATTGATTTGAACTTAGGGTGTCCTATCGATTTAATTTACAGACAAGGTGGTGGAAGCGGTATGCTCAATAGATTAAACGTATTAGAAACGGTTATTAAGTCTGTTAGTCAAGTCGTGGAGATACCATTGTCCGTGAAGACAAGAACAGGGGTTTACATAGATAAACCCATAGCGCATAATTTAATGCCAAAGTTTCGAGATTGGGGTGTATCCATGATTACCGTGAGTAATAGTATCGATAGATTTTTATTATTACAATGTTAAAATTCAAAATCCATTGATTTAATAATAGGGATTTAAATTCTACGGGAATATAATTGAAAATGATTGCACGTTGAACAGGTTCATGGAAGATCTCGCGAACAAAGGTACACAAAACTTGCAGATTGGAATTATATAGAGAAGTGTGCACAGGCAGCAAAGCCCGTGCCTGTATTTGGAAATGGAGATATTCTTTCGTTCGACGATTATCAAAGAGCATTGAACGTCTGTACTTCCGTAGAAGGTGTGACTATAGGAAGAGGAGCATTAATCAAACCTTGGATTTTTACCGAAATGAAAGAGAAAAAGTTGATAGACGTAAGAAGTACGGAAAGATTTGATATATTGAAGAAATATGCTAATTATGGCTTGGAGCATTGGGGATCTGATACGCGAGGCGTCGAAACGACGAGAAGATTTATGTTAGAATGGATTTCCTTCTTGCACCGGCAAGTATCATGTCTGATTATTTAGCAAAAAAGGAATGGATAGCTTATGATTATAAGTGGCATATTTTCTCCCCCCCCCCCCACCCCACCGTCCCTCCCCCCGCCTTCCATCCCCTCTCTTTAGATATGTGCCTGTCGGACTGTTGGAGAGACCACCGCAGAGAATCAACGAGAGGCCACCATTTTATAAAGGTCGAGACGAGATGGAAACGCTTATGGCGAGTTCGAATTGTGCGGATTGGGTTAAAATATCGTAAGTTCGTTTAAACGACAAATACGTCGATTGCCATATCTATTATCTAGGATGAACCGTAATCACGTTTGACCTCTTTTTCTAGAGAAATGTTGCTTGGAAAAGTACCCGATGGATTTCACTTTTTACCAAAGCACAAAGCAAATTCGTGGAAGTAGCAGGAGAATCGTAATCTTATGGTTTTTTTTCTCTCTCTCTCTCTCCCCCCCCCTCACGAGGACTTTTGAAATAAACTTTAGCTAGATAAACAAAGAGTCCGATCTAGAAAAATTTTATTTAACACGCAGATGCAACCGATCTAACATCATACGGATTATTATAGATTAGATTTTCCTCAAAAATGCGCAATTTTAAGTCGCGTCGATGAGGATTATTAATAACGAGCCGTATTTCCCGTCTATGGAGAAATTAATAATGAGCAGTGATGTCGCCGAGTAGAGAGACCGGCCACATGCAATCGCAACCACTGGCGATTTCTTTGGTGAAAGGCTCCCAACAATCGCTGTCCCAGGCGCGTCTGACTAAGAAGAGAGTCCTACTCCTTTGGACGCAATGAAAGACAGGATGAGCGCATTTCTGGAATGAACAAATTAGCCAACAATGTAGGAAATCAATGATATTTCGTAGATCGAATTAATTAAAGTCGTAAGATGCGCGTTAAACCTGTTTAGAGGACGATCTTGTCGTTCGTTCGCTCGCTCGATCGAGAAACGAGTAACTCTTGCAATAGACTTCGTGATAATGAGGCGGTTGATACTCATAATTTTCATCGTTGAACTGTACTCTTCTTGTCACGGTTTCGCAGAGACTTCGATATTCCTAATGGAGGGGGAGGGGGAAAAGAAAAGATTGGCTGAAAAGGAATAAAAGATAAAATGAGTAAATAAATCTTCAAGAGAATTACGGGCATTAAATTTCGATTCTGCCGATCGAGTTGTCGAAAGTCTTCCAGTTCTTCGGCCTCTCTGTCGTTGTTGTACTTTTCCGATAAATAGGGAAGATCGTTGCGCAAGTGACTCTCGAAGAATTTCGTGAAATTGACCTTCCCGTGTAGTGCTGTAGAATCGTGCGCTAGCACGAGCAATTCGGCAACCTATCGAAAAGAGCAAATGTTAATTGAAATAAAAGAATGAAGAAATTGTAAAGGCTTGTGAATCGGATACGAGGGCCGGTACGGATCTTTGGCTTGGTTCTATAAAACTCGATGAAGCGTCATAAATCGCGCGGCATGGTCGAGTGGGAGCGAAGCTTGCTGCGTGTGACTCATCTATTTGATATTGCGCCTTATGCGAAAGGACGAAATCACCGACGATAATTGAGACACACGCGATGCAGCGAGAAAATATTTCGAAGTCGAACGAAAATCATTTATTTTTTATCCATTGTCTAATGGCCGCAGTGATTGTTGTTGTCTCCGTTGAATCGAGATGACGTCTTGTCGGCGATGAACGTTAATCGGTTTCCCGTGAAAATCAGACTTGGCTCGGCTGACAAGGTCAGACCTGATTGAGTCAACGTGCCCCATGTCGTACGATATAAATTATTCTTCCCCGTGACTTTCGCTTAATTCGCGCGATGCCTTCCAAGCGACATATCCGACGGAGCGCGATTTTAAATCTGAAACGCGGCGAAAAGTGATCGTCGGGATTAGATTTTTTCTTTTTGTTGACTTTCTTTCGAATCATCATAAGTCGTGAAGAGAGGGCAAAGAGAGGGCAAAGAGAGGAGAAAAAAAGAAGAGAGAAATAGAATAAATTCTCTCGTTGTATGTTTGTGCTGCGAGAGCGCGTAGGAGCGATGCGCGTTCGACGCGAGAAGCGCGCTCGTCGGTCCGTGGTAGGTAGTTATTCAATTGAGAAGTGCGCTCCCGTCTGACATAGTTCAGTCGACGACGAACTTACATCTACACCGGAATTTGCATCTCTTCGTCGCGTACTCGGCTTTTTCTTTTGCTCTCTTCTTTTACTCCCTCTGCACCCTCCTTCCCGTCGTCGTCGTCGTCGTCGTCGTCGTCGTCGTCGTCGTCGTCGTCGTCGTCGTCGTCGTCGTCGTCGTCGTCGTCGTCGTCGTCCTCCTCTTCCTCCTCCTCCTCCTCCTCCTCCTCCTCCTCCTCCTCCTCCTCCTCCTCCTCCTCCTCCTCCTCCACCCTCCCCTCCCCTACCCTCCCCCCGCCGACCTTTCTTCTCGGCTTTCTCCATCGGTCATTTACGATCACCGAAGAAGAGGAAACCAGGAACACAGGAGTTTCGGTCCTTTCGGTGATCGCACGTTTAAACGTGTTAAAATTTAACAGGCGGCGAAGATGTCGTCGAGCTTCTTCCACCGTTATTGATATCGACGATGGATGCCATGGCGACTGATCTTTGCGCGAACGGCACTTTGAAAACGACATCAGGCAGGTGAGATAGATATAGAAATATTTTTACTTTACAGCGAACTCGAGCTGGCCGATTTTTTCCAATAACGACGATCGATCCAATCGATCGGCCACAAAACGCAACCTTTTCCCGTTCGTAACGATGATTTTCATGACAGTGAAACGGCTTAATGGTCATTATTCCTGGCCGAGTTAATAACCAATTGACCCTCGACCGCCTGACCAGAGGTTTCATTGATGAAGAGCGCTATTAGACAAAGTCAAACCGTGACAGCGCTCGAAACTTGCTCCTTTTTTTCTCTCCTCCTCTCCTTCCTCTCTCCTTTCTCTCCTCCTCTCTCCATTCCTGATTAACTGTTTACGTAGCATTAAACGATCACGCGTTAATCCGTTAATAAAGAAAAGCCAAGTGTCTCCTCACGAGCTCCTTCTTTCGTCTTTCTCAACTTTTCCGAAAATCGCTTCTTCTTGCTGTTCCTCGATATACGGTAATAGATTAGTAGAATGAGTAAATTGGAACGGTACGACCACGGGACGACGTCTAGTTATTCCATTTAGAACAATTACGGATCATCGGAAAAGGCACACGTGGACGTGTTTGTTCAAATGTACTCGTAAATGTGCTCGTTGATCGCACGCATGATCGATCTATGACTAACCTATGCGTTTAACGCTAGTGAATGCACGTGCCGTTTGCGAGTTTAAAGAATAAGAAATAAAAAAAAAAAGAAATACTGTCCATCGACGCGCTATCTTTCAATGTCACGATGTTCGCATATAAATTGGATGTACCTGGAAACGAAATACAATTACGTGGACGACCGAGGCGTAGTCGTTTCGTGAAACGGAACGATTTTTTCTCTCGTCGTGCCTCCAAAAGATTAATGTCGATTCGACATTAAACCAACGACGAAACGAACGTGGGTGCGAAATGGCTCCGGCAAGAAAATTAAGGGAAAATCCTAATCCTGGCCTGCGAATTAAATATTTAACCCATATATTTTTCAATTCCATCGAACGTGCGTGAAAATGTAATGGAACGCGGGGAAGAAAACGTACGAGATATCTCGATTCTTCTTTAACGCTATATGGACCGTCTCTTTTACTGTTTGATAATATACTTAGACCATAGAAATATAATGAATGAGAAATAAAAAGAAAAAGAGAGACGGACTTGTACGCGTGAATTGCGTTTTTAAACATTGAAATAAGATATTTTAAGCGAATACGTACGTCGAATGGAACTACGTGGGGCGCTTGCTTCCTTCGAAAAGTTTTACATTCGTATTGCTCTACGGTATGGTACAATTGTATACGTAAACGATATAAGATAAAAAGAGGTTACTAGCCGGTCACCGAAAGACGTGTACGTACGACGGACCATTGACTCGAAGGAAGGGACGGTAAATTTGCGATAAGATTATTTTTAGCCAACGTTAGAGGGCTTACCCCTTGGCGGTGGCTAAAAATAGTCCGTAAGGCCAATCCAACTCCAATTATTCCATTTAGGTATTTAGGTGACAATCGACCGACCGTCAATTTAGAAATATTCCACACGCTCGCAAGCGGGGATTTTACGTGGCTTCCTTCGACCGTAATAAGACGTGTTATCGTCTTATTGTTTCGATCGTGGACTCGATTTTTCTTTATCGAAAATTTTATTGGAATTCGAAACGTTGTGAAATTCAAAGATGAAAGAAACGACGAAATTTGTCGTTAATCAAGACAAATTAAAGATCGAACGAGGAAATTCGACGCGCTAGAAGTGAACAAAATCCTGAAATATTATCGCGTTTAAATTAATAAAGAGAGATCAATGAGAATCGATAAATAACGCCTTGCTAACCGCAACCCGTTTAACGAGCACGCACGTCCGTTTGCAGCGTCGTAGATAACATTATGAGGCAACGCAAGTCCGCCGGTGCATTGGATGCCACGGCGCCGATACCGTCGGAGAAGGAGCAGCTAAAGTTTCAAGATAACAGATTCCTCACGACTTTGGTACTCGGTAGGAGTAGGTGAGTACACCCTTGTTTCTTAGTTTCTTTTCTTACTTTTTTCTTTCTTCCTTCCTTTCTTTCTTTTTCTATTAAAATTAATCTTATTTTGTTTCTACTTGCAAAAAACAAAAAGAAAGAAAGAAAGATATTGAAATTATCTCTCAAACGAGAAGGCATTGAAAGGCATAACTTTAAAGTTCGGGAAGTCGACGGGTCTTAACGAGCTAAACGAATCGTTCGTAAACTCGTCACGCGATCTCGTTCCCATCGTTTTCGATGAAGAGAGGGGAGACCGATCGTCTCTCTCTCTCTCTCTCTCTCTCTCTCTCTCTCTCTCTCTCTCTCTCTGCCTGCCTGCCTGCCTGCCTGTCTCTGTCTCTGTCTCTGTCTCTATCTCTCGGTTTCCGCATACGGTTTCCTGAGCACATTGAAATGACAAAAAATGAAATGACAACGAACAAAAGATTCATCGCGTGGTCAAGATTTTTTAGTCGCTCGTGAGAATTACATTAGCGCCTCAGAACAGAACATAATGCGTCATAATAAAACAACTTCGGCGAAGTCGTTTTATTTAGAAACGTACTCGTTGCACTGGAAAAATTTCTTTGCACAAAGTTTCTTGATTAGAGACGATTAGAGAAAAAGTCAAACAACTTACTAAAAATAGTTTTCCGTACATCCTCGGTATATCGTTGATTCGACGTAACGGAATACGCGAATCAAGATGGTAACCGTAGAAGTTGCGAGCCTTTTGTAAAATCAAAGTAAAAGTCGTGCAGATTATATACCGGAGAAGGTATCGATTCGAGAGGGAAAATCATATCCGTTTGCGTACGATGCTAAAGGTTAAAATAAAATTCCTGTACAAATAGAGAAAATCAGAGATAACGCTTCGGTGGCATCTGACGCGTCAAACGTTTATATCTGCGGATCGATCGATTGACATTAATTAAATCAGCAGGATTGCAACCGGACAATTCATAGGAGTGATTTATAAATGTAAAGCGAGCATCGATATCGGTCGCTATCGACACCGATATCGTTCGTAAATCCAAAAATCCTCGTTAGGGTTCAGTCGAACGTAATTTTTCAATACTTTTGCAAGCCACCTACACGCCTGAGTTATACTTCTTACAACAACTTATTCCAAAATGAAGATTCATTTGGACGGACGGACGGCTAGGAAAGAGGAGGAAGAAACGAATCGTGAGTCGGAGTAATTAAGTTTGAACGTTCGAGCCTTGAGACTTTGTAATTAGTTCTACGAAGTTGATTCAACGAAGAGACGAAACGATTTCGCTCGAATTAACGGCGGCAACGCGTTTACTTAGGATTATAAGGCTGTCGAAACGTCCTTTCACGTTCAAACGATTCGTATTTCGTAACTTTTATTTCAAATTTCCCGCCTCGGCTTTACTTCGTGATCGACTAAAACGTATCAACCGAGATTCGCGTCTATATCGCGTTCGAACCAAGATTCTTTTTTTCTTATTTTTCCTCAAAATCCAAAATTTATGCGATATCGATTAATTTACCTAATAAAGGCATAACGTTTATCAAAATCATCATTCGTCGTATCTTATCAACCTAACCAATTTTATTCTCTCTCTCTCTCTCTCTCTCTCTCTCTCTCTCTCTCTCTCTCTCTCTCTCTCTCTCTCTCTCTCTCTCTCTCTCTCTCTCTCCCCTCCGTCGCCGTGCGCTCTGCTTCGTTCTTACTCTCCTATTCTATCTATTTTGCGTTTTATCTCTTTTCCGTCGTAATAATTGTAGGCACGGATATCTCGTTATAGTCGAAATTATTTTTTTGCACGAATACGGTGGCAACGCCAAATCCTAACGAATTAAGATTCTGAGAGATTTTCATTTTGTTTTTATATTTCATATGCACAGCGTATAAAAAAAAATTCTGTGCAAATGCAATACGATAAGATAAGCTGCGTATAGTTGGTTTAGTAAATAACAGTAAGCGGTAAAAATAAATGCCTTGCCGGAAATATCCTGGATTTCGATAGGAAGGTGAAGATTCACAGTAATTTATGGTACTACTTATTTTCGATTTAAATTAATTTCAATTTAAATTAATAACCTTGTTTCCTCCGGTTTACTAAGCAGCGCGTTTTTTCTTCTTCAAACTTTAAGACGAGGCTTATAGTGAGGTTAATAATGAGTACAATTACTTTTTGCAAATAATCATAATTTATTTTTTATAGTGCTTTTTCCTTTTTTTTCCATTTACATACATGTAGTATTTTTAATTATGGAGTGATAAAATTATGCAAATATAAATGAACAATTTTGTTGGTGTGAAAAATTTCAAAACACGATACGATGCATAAAACAACGTTGCATTCTGTTACTTTTATCCTGTCTTAAGACAAATGACATAGTTTCTAAATCGATTAAATTTATTCGAATAAAAAGATTCCGTGAAAACGAATAGAACGTTGTATATCATTGACATCCATTTCAATTTGAAATTTATTTCTTAGTTTCTTCTTATCCTCCTTACATACATATCGATATGTTTGTCGTTCATACTCGATCGTCTCATGATAATCGACTGTCCGATGTCATCCATTGTTGCCGAATAATCCTATGCCAGTAGAGAAGTGTGGAAAAGATATAATAGAAAAAAAAGAAAAAAATAAATACAGCAAATATAGTTATAGACGCATAAATACGCCCTTCCTATTCCATTCTTCTTCATATATATATATATATATATATATATATATATATATATATATATATATATACATACATACATATACCGGCTTCGGAGCAAAAGGGTTAACGATTTTGCGTCATGACCAATAGCACGCCGCTGAAATTAACGGTTCTCTGCATCATAACCAATAAACACAGGGCCGAGAATTATGGCGGGATTCTTTATAAAGTTTGACAGACGGAGTAGGATTATTGGTCGGACGGCGCAAAGAATGCGCGCTTGAATGTTCGATCGAACGCGCCAGACTGCGGTACTTGAGTCCGATAAATATCGTATAAACGAGGAATACGAAAAACGGAAAACAAGGGTGGGATCGATCGCGCGTAAGTATCTCGTTATTTCGCATTCGAATTCGAGCTCAAAAGGTGTTACGTCGAACGTTTTCTTTCCTTTTTATTTCTCGCTCGTTATATAAGTAATTCGTCGACAATTTTTTATTCGAATGATCAATTAAAAAGAGCAATGGCTTTAGAAACGTTTATTAATCACTTTGGTCTTCGAATCTTCACTTTGGTTGTTCCCGAATAAATGAATGCAAACGTGTCCGTTTGCCTCTACGATTAATTCAGGCATACGCGTGGTGGACCGTCAATGATTCGGTTCCTTGAGAAACCTCAATCGTTTCAATGAATCGAAACGAGTTTCGCGTAGGACGCATAATCACGCGAGATCGACGCATTTGTCTTCTCGCGATTACGCGTAATTGCTGCCCGATAAAAGCGCTTCTCTTTGCCAGCCAACAAAATACATCATAACCGTAAACATAATCTGTAAAGGTATATGCTATATCTATATAGACATACGTATGTATCTATGGGAAACAAATAAAAGAGGGGAAGAGTTCTGCAAAAAATTCTCATTGAAAATTCTAAAGCAAATCTTTTTTTGGTTCTTTTTGGCCGAAGCAGCCTTATCTTTAATTAAGAGACAACATTTACACAGTTCGTCTTATAACGCAAAGAGATAATCGACTTAATCCTTGAATCTTTGAATGTACGATTGCGAAAATCAGATGGTAACGTGAGTTTACGTTTTCAACAGAAAGATCTCACCGGACGTATTGCCATCCTGCCCTTCTGGAATATTTCGGCAAAGATCCCTTCGTTCGACGACTCCTACTAAGTTATCTACGTCGACGGCGACAAAAAGTGACGGAGATCGTGAAGAAGCGTTGCAGGCAACGCCAAACGATCGACAAAACTCTACGCGAGTCTTTTCGACCGTTTTATCGAGCGTTCTTTCGAGTGGTATACGAGAGAAAAGTAACGTTCTAAACAACAACAACAATCAGAGCAACAACAATAACAACAACAACAACAATAACAACAACAACAACAACAACAAAAAAAACGGTAATAGTAAGAAGAGCAGTGTGGTCGGTGGTGGAGGCGGCAGCGGTGGCCTCAGAGGTCAGGCGGCGCGTGCCATACGAGCCGGCGGTGGTGGCGATAGCGGAGGTGAGAGCGGAGGCGGCGCCTCGTTACTCGCAAGGGGCGCCAGAGCTGCCAGTAAGCACGCGCGCCTTGGCACGGCACTGGCTAACAAAATGGCGTCTGCGAGCTCAACCGCGGTCGTGCAAGGCTGGCCAAACACCAAGGACGACTACGAGCTTAAAGAGGTTATCGGTGAGTAGTAACTAACGTGTCGCTGCTTACCATTATCCTTTGGTATCCCTTTGTCCTTTTAGGAATCGCGCGAACGAGCCATCGTTCAGAGAAAATCTTTCAGATTCGGAGCCGGTCGCTCGTTTTTCTCCTCTTTCTCTCCTCTTTCTCTCTTTCCCCCCTCCTCTTCCAGCCCGTCGTCTTTTTCTTTTTCGGTCAACTCTCGTTCCGTCGAATTTTACGACTTTCCGAGAATTTTGAAAAAATGACAGAAACGACAACGAGGATGACATAGATGCTCGACGATGCTCGATCAAACGCGTCGTTTATTATTTCCTAAAGATTTTCTCTGATCACCGGTCTGAAACGCCATTCTCTCGACGAGGGATCTTAACCGGCTCCTTCGCGATAACGAATTTCTCATTTTTATCTCTCTCTCTCTCTCTCTCTCTATCTATCTATCTCCTTTCTTCTTTGTTGCATAGCGTACGTAAAACATTCGTTCCTTTCGGTGTTTCTCTCACATAGAAACCTATGCTCGTGATCTTGCCTCTCTCTCTCTCTCTCTCTCTCTCTCTCTCTCTCTCTCTCTCTCTCTCTCTCTCGTCTCCCCCTCCCGCTTGCTCTATTCCTTCCTTTTTCATGGATATTGTACCCTACTGCCATATACATATGCATATTATAACCTAAATGGTTGGCATCGATCGTTTGTTTTGCTTCATCTTTTGCTCCCTTTCCATTAAAGATTTATTATGTACTATTCGTAGGCAGCTGCTACGTATCACGAGACTATTCTTGCTCTTTGACTTTGCTTGATAATACGTTTGCTAAAAATACCTTCTATACAAGTCATTATTTATTACATCTAATTATCGTAGAATAACGTATCGTATATTGATTAATATTCAAAGGTGTTGGAGCCACTGCAGTAGTACACGCAGCATTTTGTATTCCACGCCAAGAAAAATGTGCTATAAAGAGAATAAATTTAGAAAAATGGAATACCAGTATGGACGAGTTATTGGTAAGATTATTTATAATTTATATTAAATAATTACTTTTTTTCTATACGCCTCTTTGATTATCGTTACGTTTATCGTTATTTAAACAGAAAGAGATACAAGCAATGTCTTCTTGCAATCACGAAAATGTTGTAACTTATTATACATCATTTGTCGTAAAAGAAGAACTTTGGCTTGTTCTAAGACTACTAGAGGGTGGATCTCTGTTAGATATAATCAAACATAAAACTAGAACCACCAACTGCAAGCATGGAGTATTCGACGAAGCTACGATAGCTACCGTACTTCGAGAAGTCCTGAAAGGTCTTGAATATTTTCACAGCAATGGTCAAATCCACAGGTACCTTTCGTTAATATTCCCCCTTTCCTTGAATTATTATAACTACAATTTTAACCTATGCGGTCTGGTTTATTAAATGGGAATATAATTATATTGAAGATATTAATGTAACTAGTGTATATGACTTTTAACAAAAAACACAAAACAATATTAGGGACATAAAAGCGGGTAATATCCTACTAGGAGAAGATGGTACTGTACAGATCGCTGATTTTGGTGTCAGTGCTTGGCTCGCTACAGGAAGAGATCTAAGCAGACAAAAAGTTAGGCATACTTTTGTTGGAACGCCATGTTGGATGGCACCTGAGGTCATGGAGCAGGTGAGAGAGGAAAGTAACACTACAACTTCTTAGCCTGCATTTTCTGTGTCTACATTTCTGTTGCATTTACATATATTGGCATAGAGAAGTGCTAAGACGATGATGTACAGTTTACCATTGCTAATGAGGCATCGGTAAAACGCTTGTTAATTTCATAAGAATTAAATGAAATTTAATTTCGTGTTTTACACTATTTGCATGAAGTTGATATTATCGATTAATTAAAACGAAGAAAAGTATTTCTTTAAGATATTTTCATTATTTCGAAATTCGATTTAAATAGAATATCTATTATTCTTGCTTGAACACGTGCAAATTCCACGTTGATATATATATATATATATATATATATATATATATATCGATATCCTTAGAAATGCCTTGCAACGTTAATCGTTCGAGTTAACCCGCGTCATTTGTAAAAGCACGCTTCTTTTAAGTGTTGTCTATATTTCTTTGATATACTTATCGTAAAAGCAATTATGATATGCATATTTATTTGCAGGACCATGGCTATGATTTTAAAGCAGACATTTGGTCGCTCGGTATCACTGCTATCGAAATGGCAAGCGGTACCGCTCCTTACCACAAGTATCCACCGATGAAGGTATTGATGCTCACTTTACAAAACGATCCACCTACCTTAGACACAGCGGCGGATGATAAAGATCAGTATAAAGCTTATGGTAAAACATTCCGTAAAATGATCGTCGATTGTTTGCAAAAGGATCCAACTAAGAGGTAAACTTAGGCACAGCCATGTTTATAAAACTGACATGTATAATACACAAATTGGTACATGTAAATGGTATACGTATTATCGAGCCAAATTCTTTATCTTTTAGACCAACTGCTACAGAACTTTTGAAACATCCCTTTTTCAAAAAAGCTAAAGACAAGAAATATTTGCAACAAACGTTAGTTGCTATAGGACCGAGTCTTGAGACTAGAGTACAGAAGGTATGTTTATTTAGAAACGTACGTAGAAGTTGATATGTATACTTTGATTTAAAATATCGTTACGATCTAAAATAGGCATCGAAGAGGCAGCCGGGTACATCGGGTCGTTTACACAGAACGGTAACAGGGGAATGGGTTTGGTCTTCGGAAGAGGAGGATAGTGCGTCTAGCGGTGAAGAGGGCAAAGAAGCATTACCAGTTAATACAATAGAGAATGCGAGTAGCGAAGAAGATCTTGAACAAGACGAATTTTACTCTCAAGTCAAATCGACGCAAAGTCACCCTGTTATACAATCTGCCGAACAAAATGTTCCTATAAATCTGGTGTTACGACTACGGTATATATTAAATACTTTCAGAGAATCTTCATTAACTACTCTTTGATGTTGCAAAGCACACACGCACGCACACACACACACACACACACGTACACACATGTATATATACATATATCCAATAATATCCTTGCAGACGTCCAGATACCCAATTCACCCTTGAGGAAAAATCCGTGTACACATCCATCCTTCCTGATCCTATTAATTCGTTTAAAATAAGTTATTGTATCCTCTACGATTTAATCCAACGCAATTTAATTTAATTATTAAATTATTATTTTTTTCTTATGTTTATTTTTATTTCATTTTTTGTTAATATTTTTTTCTTTTTTCTTTTTTATTTTTTTTTTTTTTTTTTTTATAGTAATCAGAAACGTGAACTAAACGACATCAGATTCGAATTTGCCGTGGGAATTGATTCTGCCGAGGGCATTGCTGCCGAATTAGTTGGCGCAGGATTAGTCGACGGAAAAGACATTGTGGTTATAGCAGCGAATTTACAAAAATTAATAGACAGTGCCGGACAATTACGGACTGTTACATTTTCATTGGTAAAACGATACTTGCTCTCTCGTTATTTTGTTGTACGTACAGATGAAAAACTTTCCAATTATCTTTGATTTGTTTTAGAACTCTGGTCATGCAGCCAACGAAGTACCAGATGATAAAGCATTAATAGGATTTGCTCAGATCTCCATCACGGATTAAACAATTTCGTAATATTCTGAAATCTCAGAATAATACTCTTACGTGATGTATATACATATATACATATATATATACATATATATATATATATATATATATATATATATATATATATATACACATATATATAATGCAAAAAGGATCAAAGGCTATAGCTATACCGTTTGATCATTATAGAAAAATATTGTACAGTATATGAACCATCGGCGAATTTGTTTCACGCGTATGGCTCTAGCTTTTGGTATTTTTGCAATGACTCTTTTCAGTTGCTATGATTTTTCAGGTAATTTGATCACACAGGAGATAGAACCTACAAGATCCTAAAAATAATACATCCGGTGACAAAGAACCTTTGAAAAAAATCTTTACGTCCATCTTATGTTCGCGTAACGCAATAAGACGCAACCCACACAATTATTATCCACGAAGGCTTGCAAATTAGACATATTGTAATCTCTAAGAGTTAAAACTTCACGTTATTAATCTATAATGATTCATATTACTTTAATTTATGTAAATATTAGCGATCCAGTCTGTTCGTTAAGTTGTTTCTCTTCTTAGTTGTTGGCTGTAAATTTGAAAGAATTTGCACACATCGAAAGAGCATAGCACTTGAAATAACGACAGAAAGAACACATTGGATGAAATCAGTTAAGGTGCTTGAATATCTCGTTTCTTTATTTCATATAACTTTTTTCCTTTATTCAACAAAGGATATATAAGATGCACTATAATATAGTGTCATTAAAGTCATTAAGTCCTGTACAAAATATCAATTATTACATTTTAATTATCATATTTGATGAAGAATCAATGAAATATTACACAAAGATTCAAAAGTACTAGAACACATTTTGTACTTAATTAAATAGAATTACAATAATGTATTCATATTCTTAAAGATTTTAGATAGAACTGATTTAAGACTTTTATTTCTTGAGTCGTTTTTACAAAAGCGATATGTGTGTGTGTATACATATACATATATATATATATACACACACACACGTTATATATACGCATACGTATATATACATATATGCGCATCTATACGTGAGCCTGCCACAAAATATATAAAATCGGAGTTATATGTTATTTATGATTAAAATTATTCTGAATATATTATGGAATTTTTGTAACATAAGTTTTAATATAGCCAGGCTTGTATATAGTAAAGAAGAGAAATATGTAATTATCAAATTTTGTTTATTATTTCAAGGTTTCTTTTTCACTACGAAATGTGAACGAAAAATTGGAAATATTTTAGCTTCCACACACGCAAGGCATAATATCATGTTTGCGATAATTATTATCTAAATTATTTTATTTCTATTCGGAATATATATATATATATATAGAGAGAGAAATCATTTTACCAATTCTGAAGTCACGAATGTAATACTCTATTCATTAAACGGCAGATGTATCTTGTATGCTTAATAATTACTATAGAACATACGGAAAAAGAGCATAATTATTAGTAAGCCAAAAACAACTATAATAATGATAATGATAATAGTAATAATAATAATAATAATAATAATAATAATGATAATAATAATAATGTTGTATAAACTAAAGTAGAAGCGGAAAAAAATTAGTTATATCGAACATGGCACTATTTGGTAGTGTTTAGGCTTATCACGCATTATACTTCAGGATTCGAACAAAATTTAGTCCGAATGTTTTAGCGTAACTGTATTATCATGATACATGTGCCTTATTCCCCCCTCCCCCCTTCAAAAAAAAGAAAGAAGAAAAAAGAAAGAAAAACTATATTCGCTGTCGATTCATCACAAGCTTATAGACGTATTATTATTCACAATCTTTGACCATAGCCGAAAGACATTTTCTTATCGCGACGTATCTCATTCGTAGCATCATCGAAATGGTGCCAAACAAAGTGCGACGATTGATTATGTACCGATATAAAAAGTAATTTATTTGTATCAATATCAAACAATATTAAGTAATGAAAAATACTGTGGTTTATTCCATTGCATTATTACGATCACTTGATACGTAAGAACAATATGGTTTATTGGAAAGAGGAAAGAAATATTTCGAATTAGTACTTAATTTTAACTTAATTTTTTCATAGAATTTCGAAAAATCGACAATATAATTCTTTTTATATATGAAATATCTGCGCGAGTTTATTAATGATTTCGCAATAAAATATCGCTATTTTGTCGTTAAATCGAGTATATCGTTTAAAACGATTAAGGAGAATATGCATTCGTATGGTTATATTTATCGATTTTCGCGGGAAAAAATTGAAATATCAAGTAGCTACGATCGTCGCTAGAGACGCTTTAAGCAGCGGAACATGGTGGTGACAGGCGCGGTTATGTTTTTATGTTTACTTCATGCATGTTCTATCATTTTGTAAGATTCCGAAAGAAAAAAAGAACATAATTTAGAAATATGAAGAGAGTTTTACGGAATAAACAAAACACACCTATAATTATATCATCCGACGAAGACGAGGACGAGAAGAAAGAAATAAAAAGGAAAGTTGTAAAGAAAGAAATTCAGGTTGAAGGCGAGAAAGGTAAGGGCAAGAAGAGAGTAGGAAATGTAAGAGGGAAGAAAGTAAAGGTAGAAAATATCAATGAAAAGGACGATAAAAAAGTAGACGACGAATGTATAAGGGTAAAGGGTGTTAAAAGGAAAAACGAAGATACAGACAAATCACATAATGCAAAAAAAGTGAGGTTAAAGAAGGATGATCTATCTGTTGTTGTAAAAAAGTCGAAGGAAGATGTATCTCTCGAAAGGCAAAAAAAGAATAAAGAAATAGATATAGGAAATTTTCCTAGCGAATGTGTGGAATGGACCGACGTTGACTACATTTGCGAAGTGGAAAATATCGATAAAGAAGTAGCAGAAAATATAGTGAAACTTTTCAAAGATGATAATACTATACCTTTTATCGCAAGGTATAGGAAAAATATGACAGGCGGCATGGAACCGGATCAATTGAGATCAGTGAAAGAGTCCTTTGATCGTGTAAATGTAATAAAACATCGCGCTGCCGTTATTATTAAAGCTATCGATAAGTTAGGAAAGTGGACGCCACAGATACATTCTGCCATAATGTCTACCAAATCCGGGGACGATTTGGAGCATATTTATTCAATGTTTAAAGTAACGTCGAAGCAATCCTTGGCAGAGAGGGCCAAATCGTTGGGCTTAGGTCCGATAAGTAATGCGGTAATAGAGGGAAAAGAAATTCCTCCTCTATCGTCGCTGATCGATCGAGAAAAGAAAGAGCTGCAAACCGAGCAACAAGTAAGGGAAGGAATTGTACATATTATAGCGGATATAATAAGTAAAAATAAAGGTACGTTTGACAAAGTGAAAATCCTTGAAAGAGCATCTATTATAGAGATTCAAACGGCGCGATCAAAGGCAAATGATACATCCAAGAACGGGAAGAGGGATGTAGATCGAGAAAAGTATGAAATATATTTCAATTTCAAAAGTAACACAAGAATTATTAAACCGCATCAAATTTTAGCTATTAATAGGGCAGAGGCGCAGAAAGTACTCGGTGTAAAAATCGTTATACCCGATTCATTGATAGATGGATTTAAAAATTATTGTTTGAACTCGTTGTTCAGATTCGGAGCTAGGTCGTCGTCGTCGTCGGCCATACACTTGGCATTGTTGGAAGATAGTATCGATTATGCTTACAAAAAGTTTATCAAACCGTTGATAGTTCGAAGAGTACGAGGCGAATTAAAGGAGAAAGCTGAGAATGCATCGATAAAGGTATTCTCTATCAATGTCAAACAGTTGCTACTGACACCTCCTGTACGTGGAAAGATAGTGCTGGGTATAGATCCAGGTTTTTCTCATGGATGTAAATTAGCAGTGGTATCGGAGCAAGGTAACGTTTTAGAAACTGCCGTAATATATCCTCATAGAAGGGCAGAAGGAGGTTTAGATAAATCGATTAAAATTTTGACCGATTTGGTGAGGAAATATAAAAGTACTGTCGTAGCGCTCGGCAACGGTACGGCATGCAGAGAAACAGAAGTGTTACTTTCAAATTTAATCAAATCTAATGCCTTCGATCCATTCGACGTTTCTTATACTATAGTCGACGAAGCTGGAGCTTCCATATACAGCTGTAGTTCGGAGGCGAAACTTGAGTTTGCCAGTCTTGACCCAAATATAATCTCTGCGATCTCAATCGCAAGACGTATACAAGATCCTCTTGCCGAATTGGTCAAGATAGAACCGAAGCATCTAGGTGTAGGAATGTATCAACACGATTTGCCCGAAAAACAATTGATACAGTCATTGAACGAAGTTAGTATCCATATGAATATTGGATGAATCTATCGAAACATATCTCGAAATAACTCGATAATTGGCTAATTTGTCCTTATAGGTTGTCACAGAGGCTGTAAGTTTTGTCGGCGTCGATGTCAACACAGCTTCCCATTCTCTTCTTAGAAAAGTCGCCGGTTTGAATGTATCTAGAGCGACTAGCATCATAGAATGGAGGAATAAGCATGGTCCATTTTTGAACAGACGACAAATTTTGAACGTAAAAGGCATCGGTAGCAAAACTTTCGAACAGTGTGCCGGATTTATAAGGATTCTACCAGAGACAGTAACGGTTACCGGGAGTAAAGTAAAGAAATCCAAAGATCCAGATAATTCTTTAAATTTTTTGGATCAGACGTGGATTCATCCGGAGTCATATGCTATAGCGAATGAATTTTTAAAATCGTCTGGATGTAATGTAGAGGAAATAGGCAGTTTGTCTTTCATAGAAAGAATAAAATCATACGTCAAAGACGGTGGTTCGAGTTTTCGTAAGAAATTTCAGACGGACGAAGCCACGTTAGAAGTCATAATAAAGGGCTTAACTATGAAGAAGGACGAAGACATAAGAATGAAATCGCACTGTCCTTTGTTTCGTGCTTCTTTGCGAAATATCGACGACTTGACCGAGGGTACTTTGTTAAGCGGGGCTGTTAGAAACGTCACGCATTTTGGCGTATTCGTAGACGTTGGGGTAGGAAAAAATGGTCTTATGCCCACCAAATGTTGCAAGGGTGAAACTCTTTGCATAGGTCAACGCGTGGAAGTAAAAGTTGTCAACATCGAACACAGACGTAATAGATTCATCTTGGAACTCATCAAGGCCTTGTAAAGTAATATCGAAGGGCTTTCTTTGTCGATCGTGCGAGATGTCAAATACAATCGAAATACTTTTTTTTTTTTTTTTTTTTCTTTTTTTTTCTTCAATCATGTACAACCCTCCCCCATAATATTACGTTTTGTACGGATTGTGAGCGAAATAAATTCATCCATTGAAAACATTGAGTAAGAAAAATGGAGAAAAGTTTGATTTGGAAAAAAAAAAAAACAGAAAAAAGAACATTTGATTTGGAACAAACCTTTTATTAAGGGGACTCGATGGATTTATTATGTGTGTGCCCGAACGAAAGGGTTGACTATGCTCGAAAAAGTCTCTCTTGCGTTTGTGCCGATCAATATACGCCGTAGTCAACGGCGTAGCAGTAAGAAGCTACTTTTTTCTTTCCTTTCATTTATTCTCTCGATTTCTTTTAATTAATTTTTTATTCTGGCAACTTCGACAATGGAAAAATGATTGTAGGATTGAGTTCATAAATAGTTTAATACCTGTACGAGAGGGTATTCAAGAAAATTATATATCGCGATAGAGAAAGGAGAAGTAAGATGTGGGGGTATTAAAAGGCACGATATGCCATTTGCAATGCGTTTTACTTCAGCCTAGGTGTACGTAAAACCGCTCGATTGCGAAAATAATTGATGAAATTGTTTATTTATTTATTTTTTTTTCTTTTGTCTCTACAAAAAGAACGAAATAAAATTTCGACGCGAATCAAAAGTGCCCCCTGTAATCGCTTTAACTTGGTTTATCTTTGTCGATAAGGTAGACGTCCGTGGTACACGAGAAAGCATATTTCTTACTAATCTAATCGATTTATTGGAAAAGCATAATAATCGATCATCTCGTATCGTCGTTCAGAATTCCCTTTTAGATCGTAACAGTAATAAATATCACGTTATTTTTTTTTAGTTAGCATCCGTGTCCTTTCGCATTGTTACGCGGGTGTATATGCTTATTCAGGACAGTCGGTCAGGGAGCTTTAAAAATTGCCTCATTTTCTTCGCGAATCACGTACTTAAGAATTTCTTCAAGCGCAGGTAAAAGTAAAGTATAACGGAGCTACTACTCGAGCGAGCTTTTTATTTATTTTAACGATAAAACGATATTACTCGAGGATTTTGATTATTCGATGAAAATGAGTGACCTAGATAAAAGCGTCTCTCGCACGAGTTAACGAGAGTACGAGATTTATTTCACAAACGATAGCCGATAAGTTTTAATTAAATTTCTAATATGGATTTGGGCTGACGCTGACGTTAAAAAGTGATTACATACGCGTCGATTAATCGAACTAATGCGTGCAAAATAATTTTCAAATTGATTAGGGAAAAGAAGGTGAGAACCGTGAAACAGAACAAAGCCGTTTTATCCTTTGCTACTGCGACACGAGTCGGGAGGATGGCCGACGAAACAGGTTTTCTCCTTCCGGACGAAAACATTTTATACGAGGTTCGCGACGATCCTCGGATTTGTAAAACTATGGAAAAGAGAGAAATAGAAAAGAAATTGAACGAACTCAACAGATTGCGAGAGAAAATAAAAGGAGTCATAGTGCGGTCTCTTTCATGGACGATGAATGGCGCTCGCTGATCTTTAGAACAATCGCTCGGCGTTTCGTAAAACCGTCCGCCGGCAATTATTATATTTGTCGAAAGTCTGAAAATTTATATTTGCCAAGTAAAAACAATGGCTTGTTATTTTCTATCCGTCCTGTTGAGAAAATATCTCTGGAATCGACACGATGTTTATTTTCCCTCGTGGTACCTGTTAGGATTATAGGACTATGGGGCCGGTATATAGAGCGAGCGGAACAGGGCAGGGGGTGCTCCGTTGACGATGCTGCCCGATGCCGCGCGTTAGTGCTTTTTCCCCTGGCGTCTAGACGTCGCGGCGCCCGTTTTCAGGCATCAGCCGTTTTACGGAACTACGCTCGATGCTTACACTCTCGACTACGTTCCTTATCGATCCGCGACATTGACGCGAATTAACGAAATTTTTCACTCCAATGGGAAAAAGGAGGAGGAATAAAGAAATAGATATGCGCATGAGAAGAATCATATTCGATGATTTCCCTTTTACGAACGATATCGAACTTTTTAATCAGCGAATGTCTTCCATGCATTGGGATACGTTAAGGGTGCTGCTCGGATCGATTTTTAATCTTGGCAAATGACTCCAAGGGAAGGGCGCTCAGACCGCGTCGCAAGCGTTAAACCATCGCAAGAAGGAGACGATGCTCGCTGACGGCTACGATAATGTTGCTTGTTGCTCGTCAACAGGGTGAGGGGGGGGGTGAGCTTTTCCGATGGACGATCATTTCTCTAAAGGTACATAGCTTTTTTCTCTTCTTTCTCGCGGCAGAAAACAAACAAACAAACAAACAAACAAATAGATTTATTTTATTTCCCTTTGCGCCGAATATCGTCGATTAGTGGAGCAGAGCCAACCGCGAAAAGTTTTACGATCGTATTAATCACCGACCTAGTGCCGGTGAACGTGCGCGAACAAAACTCTCGATATTTTTTTCCGAGCGATCCCTTCCAAATTGTCCGTGTATAAGATTCGAAGAACAAGGACGTTTCCTACGTTTCGCATTTAAGCGAAATTAAAGCGATGAAAGGCGAGGTGTAAGACGATTCCGCGATAGGAGGGCAATCGATGCACGCAGATAGACGGACGGACGGGCGGTCGATCGGTCGGTCGGTCGGTCGGTCGGTCGGTCGGTCGGTCGGTCTTGGGGCGCGCGCATAGTAATATATGCACATAGCTCGGCTATAGAGCACTTGAAATGTTACGTAGGCACGTTTCGTACACGTAGGAGGTAGACTTTCGACCTTAACGTCCACCGACAGTTTAGGTTGGCTCGCCTACGCGACTCGCAAAGTTATTACGAAGCTAGCGCAAATCGTATTACAGTAGCTAACCGTAGAATGGCATTTATTTTTCGCATAACTCGCAAACTTTTGTCGCGTTTCGTTATTGCCTTTGAATCCTTAACTTGGAGTAAAATTTCACTTTTTTTCGTTTCCTGCCTAATATTTTCGTCCCGGATTTTGATCCCTCCCGTAGGAAGGATACGGTTCTCTGGCAGAAGCTCGTTAATGTATACTGTGACGTACCCCCTAGAATGTAACCTAACGCAAGAGCGATGGCTACGTTTTATTTCCGACAGACTGTCGCTCGATTAAACTCTCGTAAGCTCGTTAATCTCTTCCTATCTCGTTACTCCCGACGGAGAGTCGAAGGAAGCGAATGCTTCGAGCCCTTTTAATGGCCCGGCAAGGTAAGAAGCAACGCTTCATTTTACTCTCGCAATCGCTTAAAAACGCTCGTTACATTACGTTCGAACCATCGTCGCGTTAAATTATACGAATTTTGTCCATGTAAAGCCATCCAACCTTCTGCTGGTTGGAAGCTCTCAAAGTGTGTAGGATGAAAATCTTCCAATGAGATTTAATCGCGGCTACCACCCATCCTCGATTTTCGTCGTCGATTGCGATCGACGAAAGAGACTATCGCGTCTGAATAAAGAGGAGATTAGTTGGATAGCCAGCCGTAAGGGAAACCGTAGGAGAGTAGTTTTGTTAGCGAGAGGTGCGGGATACGAGTTGGAATTCCGAGGTTTCGCGACTCGAACGTTTCTCGTTCTCGTGAATGTAAGAGAATACGTAACGGATAGTAGAAGGTAGTGGGGTCGAGAACAGACACGCGTGCTTCTCCTCGTTGATTTGTGCGAAGACTCGAAAGGATTGTCCTGCCGGACCTGAGAGCTCTCCTCGTTAAGACACTCTCCTAGCTTTGGAATATCACGTGCGAAACTAAGGTGTCCTCTGGGAGAGCTATACGGGGCCAAGAGCCCGTAATGCCCCTTACTTTTTCCATTTTATTCGCCCGATAAGACGGGGAAAAAAGGCGGAAAATCGCGAGGAAACTCGTCTTTCTCTTCTTCTTTTTGATCCTAGGATTCGTTTGTCATACTCGAAGGCAGATCGATTAATCAGCTTTTGTCGGTAGTAGCGCGATAGTAACTTTAGCCTTTCTGACAAAGTACGCGAGGTCACGTCGTATCCCAGGCGAGCAACACCTGCTACTACGGTCTTGCTAGGTAGAATCGGTTCGTGAGCTGACGCACGACTTTGCAGGCGGCGATCATTTCTAAAGCCACACGAGCAGTTGTTCGGTCCTTTGCGGTCGTGACTCTCCAGAGTGCCATCGTCCCTAACCTCGGAGTACCTCCCAATACCGTCACGAAGAACAATCGCCTAGGCTCTAACTTTTCCGTCCTTATCCATGTCGTGCCAGTTCATCGTCGTGCCAGCTACCGTACACGATAGAAAGAACGATGTCGGCAAATCTGGATAAAAAGAGATCAAGATCGTTCCTTATCTCTTTCCATGTGATGCTGTTCCTGAAGTTGCCTCTTTCTAATCTGTCTCTTTCATATCAAAAAATCCGACGAAAAGATTTCGTTTTGCTTGTAACGTTGGCCTTACAACCTATTCCGCTCATATCTTCCGAAATATAATAAATATTTTCACCTCGTGAGTTTAGCATAACGTTTCCGTATAGCGAATTTTTCATACGATCGTCTTCGTTAGGAAGAATAAACGAGAGAGAGAGAGAGAGAGAGAGAGAGAGAGAGATCTCGATTTGAAAACTTTCCGAAAAGATTGGAAATTATTATCGCTGAATCTTCCTCGGATGGATTACATAGCTTTACAAAAATTTTCGCAAAAATTTAAATCAGAAAGGTAAGCTACATAGAGAACGACGATTCGCCACTCGATCTTGTAGTCTCGGACATTTTATACATTCGTCAATTTGCATATCCCTTTTTAAATTCCTCTTACGACGTATGCGCTCACGACATTCCTTCTTGATATTGTATTGTGAAGATATGCCAATGTTTGCCGGAATTGCGTGCTTCGAAATTTCATTATTGTTTGGTAAAAAGTTTAAATTGAAAAAGTCTTTGTCGAAAAAACGAAACGTCCCGTCTCAGGTTATTCATTTCGGGTCACCTTTTTTTGTTTCTCCTTACGCGTTACTCGTTACACTCGTTCGTGTTTTTTGCAAAATTTTTTCACGCTTGCACGCTATTCCGTGATAACACGAAACGTAGAATATTCGTTCGTCAATGGAGACTCGCAGGCCCGCCGTCACGGTCGTAGTCGCATCCGTTTCGCAAATCCATTTTGAATGGAAACGCGAAATAATTGGACCCGAGTTCACAAACCATCGTAAAGCATCGTTTCATTTGTTCGCTTCTTTTCTCATATTTTCAGCGAGGCTCGAAACATATTTATCAGAAAGCATGGTTCGCGCGAATGTAAAAATGGATATTCGTAAAGGTAAAATGTTACATCGAGCGTGCGTATAAGTGGAGGGATTAAAACCATCCCTCTCCCTTCTTCTTTCCTTTCCTTCTCCTTTTTCCTCGGCACGTGGTATCCAAAGTTTGTTGATTACTTTCGAGGATCGTTAAAGTTAATGAGGTGCCCGACGGAAATCTTCGTAGGAAGGAAAATCTCGTACGGGCGACTACGTATGTCTGCGTCTGGGTTGCGTGAATACGA